CCTGATAGGAACCATCCCATGGCACTGGCACACTCACTTGAGTGGAGGAGAGTTTGCCTGTGTTCACACTGTATCTCCCTTCCTTGGCTATATATAAGCTGATGGAGAGTATAAAAATTTCTGATGTACCTTTGCACTCTTTATATTTCCTAGTATTGAAGGTGCCCAGTAAATGTTCAACAGAAACTGCTACTTCCCAAAACTATTCTTTCCAACAAGGGCATTGCTATGAAAATAACTGTTCTCATTGAGTTATGGGGTCTTAATGATCAACAGGCATTTTGCAAGTTAGCGAAGGATGTGAGTTGTTAACCACCTCTAGAAAGAAAGAAAAAGCTCAAAGAGAAGTAATTCGGGGTTTTAGGCTGGGACACTAATGGGGGGGGGGATGGGAGGAGAGGGCCATACAGAAAGTTTTACCAGTGCTCCCTAGCACTGGACACCTTCTCTTGATACAAATTCAGACCAAGAGATCTCGAGATTTCTCTGCAAGTTGGAGTAGAATTGAGGGTATCCATGTTGCTTTAGGGATTAGGACATTTCTAGATCCATCTGTGCATCTTAAATGGGAAGGTCTCTTGGTGTGGATGTTCATGACCTTAAGGCACACTGTAGCAGACATGAATGCCCAGGTTAGCTTTATAACCAGACTGGTGTCTTCATGTGCCACAGGGCAGGAACCCCCTAAGACCAACGCATCAATAGGTAGTTAGAGTGTAAAGAAAGCAAATCAAGTTTCCTGCACCCAAGCATTAGTCCCCAACTAGTTAGTTATAAGTGATCCTGAGCAAATTATCTAAGCAAAATTAATTAATCCCTGAGGACCTCGGTTTTCCTGTCCATATGTAAAGCAAAAAAAAAAAAAAAAAAAATCACACTAATACTTCACATATATCCAGAGTCATTGTGAAATCAAAATTAGATTATTTGTATTAAAAACACTTTAATAGATAGAGAGGTACTATACATATATGAAGTGTTGTTATTCTTATTATTATATACCTACCATTGTTTAATTATTCATTCCAGGGGATGAGGAACATGATATAATTAAGTTCCCCGTGACCATATAGGGTGATACCAGTTTTTCAATGTTGTGCTGTGAAAACCTATCAAAACTACTATATTATACTCAATTAATATTCAACAGGTATTCTGAATCACCAAATATAATTCCTAGTTTTCACAGAATCAGTGAAAAGTTACCTTATAAATAATTATAATTTTACCAACTTCAGATTAGCTGGTGAAACTGTGTATTTCATCAATTAGGATTAAATAAAGGTTCTGAGAACTAATTGGCATTCACCACAAATGCCTTGTATGAGAGATCAAAAAGCCTGGGCTTGAGACCCAAATCTGACACCAACAAGCTTATGAAACAGGCACCTTTCTGGAAACTTCAGTTTCCTCTTCTATAAAATGAGAATGTTAACATATCTCTAATATTCCAGTTGTAATTTCCTATGAATTTCATTCACATGAGCTAAGGTCTTTGATCTGACTCACGAAAGTCATAAAGGAATGCAGCTCTCCCATAACCTTGTGGAATATACCTTCTCTACAAGTGTATTTCTGGTGCAACATTTGCTGTGGGTAATATGTAAAAGCTAAGATCAGAAAGCCAGCCGTTCTGAATCCCATGCCAAGAAAACTCAGCCTAAACAGCAATTAAAGTGAACTCTTGCTGCATAATTATAGGACAGAGGCTTTGTTTCAGGCCCGATCAATAAGAGGTCTTGCACAGAGAAGCTCAAGACTTGTACCAAACGAAAGGATGTTCAGTAAGTAGCAAGTCCCTCAGCTTCCATGTAATTACTATCTTAAACCATCCTGTACAATTTTAGGATTATCCTGGCATATCTTTGTTCCCAAGTTAAAAAATTTACTGTCTAGTAAATAATAATGCAAAAATGAGAAACTAGTCTAAAAGGACCTTATAAGGTAAGCCAGCTGCTTCTAAGTCTACGCAAGTTTTTATTATGGTCTGTTGTGTAAATATCTTTCCAGAAGCTTTAACATTATATTTAATATACACAATGCCCACAGTCGGTCCCATTTCCATCTGGTCCCTTTTGGTAAGACAAGTAGAAGCCTAAAGGCTTTTTTTTAACTTCAGGAAACATATGTATCCATTTTCCCAAAGAAATGTGAGAAGACTCTTTTAGATTGTGAAAATGGTAAATAAGAATAAGTAAAGACTTTAATTGAATAATTAATTCAAATAAGCCTTAGGACAAAAAGAAAAGATGGGGTAAAAGAAAGATAATTTATGAAATTGCTTAAGATCATCTCAAAAAGACCTCAATGAAGGGGACCTAGATGGACTTCGCATTGTAATGGAGCTCAGGATCAGAAGTTCTCACTTTTACTCTCCTTTTAATCCCAGTACAGTTGAGGCCTGAGTAATGCAGAAAACAAGGCAGAGGGACTTGGCCAAAGGCTTGCTAATCCTCCTGTCTCAACAATTTTAGAAGAGAAAACACACTCTGGCCAACACCTGCTATTGGCATCCATAATCTTTGGGGCCTTCTCTTCCCCCACTCCCACCCCCAGCTATGGCTCTTTCTGGCGTCATGTTTGTAACACTTAGTGTACGCGATTTGAAAACCTCCTTACTTGAAATTCTCCTTCTGAGGCCATTCTTAAAACTATTCTTAGATGAAAAACCAAATGTTCTATAGCATGATACACAGGTGGTAGTTACCAAGTTTGTTGTCGACAAATAAGCACCTATTCAGGGGCTCGCTTCGGCGGCACATATACTAAAACTGGAACAATAAGCACCTATTCAGAACCCTTCACAATCTTCCCAATAGACCGTGCCACCATTTGTGTAGCTAACATTCGGTGTGTGACAGCCTTGCCTGAGTCCCTGCAACCCTTAGGATCCTTCATGATAAACTACAATCTCTCATGGGACATCAAATGGTAGTTACACTGTAGGGAGTCAAATATGATCCTATGGTCCTCCAAACAATCAAAATCCTTTCTCTGAGACACAGAAATGCAGGTAGAGTTGCAAAGAATCAAGAATGGCTACGGGGATGAGTGAATGATGGTGGCTCAAATGTATAGCCTTTGAAAACGTCAATGAAATGTTATGTTTTTCCTATAGTGGATATATATGAACATAATATTTCTATGTGTAAAGACACATACAAGTAGCAGTTCTATGTATAGGTCTGGTCGTATTGGCTCTCTGGGGGCAAGTGCATATTCAGGTAACATGATACCTCTTACTGGACCAAAAGTTAATGGGATCCAAAGTCATCTGCCCCTAGTAAGATAGAAAGAATTGCTAGGTCAGGGACTCAAATGCCTGAGCATCTGGGGTAGGACCCTTCAAGTTTGCAAGTCCTAAATATAGCACTCTGGCCCAGTTAGAGACACTGCATTCTTCACCTTGACCACCTGGGATAGACACTTGCACACAGCCCTTCCACATCAGAAGTACCCACCTGGTGTCTGTTCGGGTGTCCCACCGAGAGCTGGAGCAGACTGCTCATGCCTGGTCAACCTCATAGCTTAAAAATCAACAACAACTCTATTTAAATAAGCATTAAAAACAACTTGAGCCTAGAAAATACACTCAGTGCTAACTCACTGGATAGTAGGGGCAGGTTTAAGTTTCGTTTTCCTACTTGTCATTAACATCACATAAAATATGTTTGCGTCACAAAGCTTTGTGGTTTTATGTGAATCTCAAGAACATTCTTTAGTGTTATTTCCATTCTTAATCTTCAAAATTGTCATGTGAATCAATTAGCGAGAAAGGACAATAAGTAAACCTGATATCCCAAAATGGCTGGTTAAGTTATAAAAGAGCTGGAAAATTCATAGAAATTGTAATTTATTTCATCCAGATATTGGTTTCTAGGTTCTGATTCGGTCTTCTCTGGGGCCTAGCACTCCTACGGGTTATTCTTAAATGACCACTTGCTAGAATCTTTGTTCCCTGAAAAACTGAGTTACTGATCGCTTAAAGGGCCTTCATTGACTTCTCCCAAAGTTCACAATACCACATTTTCATAGCTTGTCTAAAATAGAGAAAAAATGCAATTAAAAAAATCAAATCATATTTGTGATTAAAAATGATTATGTTATACAAGGCTGTCTTCCAATAAATGCCAATGAAAAAAGCAAACCTTTCCACTTCCAACAGGACAAGAGGTATGTTTTAGAGTGTTATGTGATGAATTTCACAGCAGTTATTTAAAAATTAAATCACTTGACAAATTTCACAAGTACCATATTTAAATATACTCATTCACTAACATGGTGATTTAGTTATGAATTTTTAATTATTTGCCATTCATGAGCCATTGCTGAACATTAGAGTTCATTTAGTCATCTGGTAATTTAGGGAAAATTGTGCTCTCTTTCAAAGTGCCATATAAAGAAAGACCTTTACAAAACAAGCATACAGGGTCTTTTTTTTTTTTTTAATTGGCAAGGAATCTTATTTTTATTTATAAATAATCTGGTGAAGCTGCACAGAAATTCAACTTCTCCTCAGCCTGGTGTTTTCTTTTCAAAAGCAACCATTATTTTTGGTTCATCTGGGAGCTTGTTAGGCTGTCTCCATCATACGTGAAAAGCAAATGCACTCCACACTTCCACTCTGTCACCTCAGCTGCCATGGGGTCTGGCCTGTCCCGGTCTTTTCCAGGAAGCTCTCAGGTTCCAGGACTGGTGGTATCCCCTTTCCTATCCTAGGACTCAGGAGCAGAGAGGCTGTGTCTATGTTTCTGGCCAGGCATGAGTGGATTTGCTGCCTTCTACTGCTGGACCAGGGCTTTGCTTCACCCACACACTGGACAAAGCCCCCTACCAGGGCACTGACATTCTTGGGGCAACCCTCTAGGGAATCTGAAGCCCTAACCTAGTGAAGGAGCTCCGTTGACTAAATAAGTTACTCTATGAACATTCAACAGGACAAGTCAGCCTCAGAAAGACATTAAACAGATTTAAAGGAAGGAGGGAAGAAGATACTCAACGAATTTTGGAGGTTAAGGTCTCGGGGAGAGAGAGTGCCCTCTTGGATTCCACAGGACCCTTCACGCTGTCTCTCAGAGAACGCACACTCTTCTGGCGGTTCCTTGCAAAACGAGCCCTCTTGATCTTCCACAATGCTGCGTCACTGAGGTTAGCGACATTGGTCCTTACAGCCGTGATAGCTTGCAAAAGGAATCAGACGTTATTTTCTTTAACAAGCACAATGAGTTGGAAATAACCCAGCGTGTATATTTTCAGGATTAAAGTACATCTTTCGTGGACACATGAATCATTCGTGGTGAGTCATAGAAAAAAATCATCACTACTATCACGACTATTGCCTATGATTCTTCTGCTTAGACTGTAAGATTACATTGTCTAATGTTTTTATTATCATAGTTGACTGACCCACTTTTCCCATCTATTTAGAACTATAGGTAACTAACAAGCATGCAAGGGTGAATTTGTGAGGTGCAAATGTATCTCACAAAATTGCTCACAAACACTGTGAACGTGACTACTGAATCATATTTAAGGAACACTCAGTCACAAAGGGTCACCATAGGTCCTCAAGGAAATGCAAAGGGCTTTGCTTTTGGAAGGGCAGAAACCAGTTGATCTATAGATTACTACAGAGTTACTCAATAAATATTTAATAAACTGAGTTCATGAAGTAAGAGCCTTCTCCATAATGGGAAATCAGGCTACATGCAGAGTATGTTCTGCTTATCTAGCACATGTAAGAATAGGAACTATGGCTGTTTAAAGCAAGTTCTTTGTTTTGCTTACTTGTAGGAAAAGGAAATTCTTTGTTACAATCCAAATGTAGCTGAGCTTCCAAAGAAAGGGTCTCAAATCTGTTGACAAAGAACTCCCAGCTCAAGGCAGGAATATCTTGCTTAAGAAAATGCAGGAGTAAAAGTTTGCTCAGTATTGTGGGTCTGTCTTTAACCACAGTATCAAACTGGAAATCAAGACAGAGACACAGACCCTGGGGCAGAGAGGGGGAAGAAAGTTTAAGTCAGATATAAACATATAAGTTCCTTCAAAGCAAATACATTAAGCAAAGTCAGTGAAACAAGACAAAACCTCCTCGCTCCATACATATAATGTGGAATGATCTGATTGAAATGTTCTTTGATTGCAAATTTGGCAGAAATAAAATGCAGAAGAGGAACTTCTCCCAATTGTAGAATACCTCTTGAATTCTAGTTCAGAAATCTACACTAAATGCAGGTTATTGGTTTTCAGATGCATTCATTAATAACCACTTAATCCAAATGCTCTCAAACCAATGTTTCTTTTTTCAGTGTCTATAGTTTCTATTAAAAGAAGCATACTTCCGAAGCTACATTTGAGAATACATAATACAAGTTTCTAATTTCCTTTCAATGCTAAATGCCATGGTTCTAAAAGAAAATAAACTCATTTTGTCTTCTTGGAACGTGAGTGGCACACAGAATCTTAAAAAATCAAGTTGGACTAACTGACCATCCGTTTCTCCAGTGTATGACTCTGCTTACCATTCCCCCTTTCCTAACTGAATGAAACCTAAAAACCGTAATCCATCCAAGCATTCTATTAATTCATTCAACTCTCAACTACTGAGTGCCTCTTATGTTCCAGGCACTGGGCTGGAAGACTACCTAGTCTTTAAGACCAACGGAGTATCCAGAAGACAACTGGGAATTTTTATAAGGGAGGCTGTGGGTCCACAGTCAGCCGAACCACCGAATTGCCCAGATCCTGCACTTTCTTCTCGGTCTCTTTTAGGGGAAGCAGGGTATAGACACAGTTACAGTCAAGAATGTGGACTTTATTATGACTCACAACCTGAGTCTGTTCTGCCACATACTAACCACGTGACTCTGAAAAAGTGACCTACCCTACCCCTTCCAACCCTCGGTTTCTCTATCTGTAAAATGGGAACCCACAAGGTTATCGTGGGGATTAAATGAGACAATGGAGATGAGACACTTAACCCACTGTCCTGGAAAGACAGTATCTGTTTGACAAATTTTAGCTCTTGCCATTATTATTAGTTTTCATTAGAACGACACTGTTATAAGCCGGAGCCAATGTGGGAAATCCGGAGATCAGGACTTCGGAGGTTCTAGTCTCGGTTCTTCCACTAACTCGCTCTGTGTCCTTTGACGAGTCATGTTATCTCTCTGAGACTTGGTTTCTTCAATTATATAATTAAGGTGCCAAATAAAATAAGTAAGCAGCTCTAAGTCTCGTATTTCATGTTGTTTTGACTTTCATTTTAGTAGGCGTATTTGCCTTCTCAGATCTTGCTTTGATTTATATTATAATTCGTCACAGAGATGATTTCTCTTCGTGTCTAGCCTCTAATGACAAGAGCTCCCAGCCCAGGGACCAGCTAAATAGTACAAGATAAACCACCCGAATTCACAAATCTGCCACACAAAAAAACATTATACAATTCCTGTCACTGTCAAAAGTGTTTTCACCATATGGACAAAGACTGAAAAGAAAGTAGTAAGAAATAAGAACAAGGGGTCTTTAATAAGGTAGTGTTTCTGGGATTTTTCCCCATTTAAAAACTCCCCCATTCTTGCTGTCCTCGTCATCAGTCCTATATGTGCTCAGCGGAGCACCATCCACAGCACTCAACACACAAACAAGGGCCGTCACCTGCAATGCTGGCCTCTTTATGGTGTCAAGCAGGAGACCGGCCCTGGTAGCCACCGCTGGGTTGACATCCTCCACAGCTGTGAGAAAGCAGCAGAAAGCATGTGCCAGGGAGTACTTCAGCAGGTGGTTTTTGGTCACTGAGTGAATATCCAAAAATCTACAAATTACAGCCACTTTTTCCACTGCAGTGTAAAAGGAGAGGACAAAAAACAAAAACAAAAACAAAAACCAGACACTTACTTAGACAGAATGGAACCTACAAAGAAAAAGTCAACTCTGGGTCCCCCACACCCTGCTTTGAGAAACCAAAAGGAAATTCTTTTTTTTTTTTTAAGATTTTTTTTTTTTATTTGTTCATTTGACAGAGAGAGATGACAAGTAATTAGAGAGGCAGGCAGAGAGAGAGGGGGAAGCGGGCTCCCCACTGAGCAGAGAGCCCGATGCGGGACTCAATCCCAGGACCCTGAGATCATGACCTGAACCAAAGGCAAAAACTTAACCCACTGAGCCACCCAGGCGCCCCCCAAAAGGAAATTCTGATGCCGCCTTCTTGAATGTTCCATTTCATCTGTGTGACAGAGACCATTTCTACCTAGTACAGTACTTCTCTGCTGGGCAGCCTTGATTTAACTGTGGGTTGTCTTTTTTTTTTTTTTTTTTTAATGGTCTTCTTCATTGTTTAACTCAAACTATACTTCAAAATACTCAAAATGCCTCCACGCTCATTTCCTTGTCCATTCCAGGCCCTTCTGCAGACCACACAAGGAGACAGGAGGTGCCCATCAGACCTGGCTTTAGATTCTGGCCCCCCTAATACCCTGAGGAACAATACGCTCCTGGCACCTTGATCTTGGACTTCCCAGCATCCAGAACTGTGAGAAAATAAATGTCTGTTGTTTAAGTGCCCCCAGACAGTGGTATTAGCAAATGTGTAATAGTTAACCCACTTAATGGAACTTCCATTCCTTGGTCACATTTTGGAGACACTGAAACACAGAGAACCATTCTGAACACCACGGCATTGCGGGCCCTCCTTGCTGCTCCCGAGGATGGGAGTCCTAGCAGACTGGGGTGACCGTGAAGGCAGCCGATGCGAGGCTAAAAGAACATGCCCAGGTTCCTTCCTTACCATATTCCTCTAAGAACTTGCCATTCTCAGCACCAGGAAATCATACCCATCACTGCCCCAGACTTGATCCCTGATGCTTTAGCGGAAAGGGTTTAACAGCAGAGATTCTCAAACATCACTGAATTACCTGGATACCTCGTTAAAAATGTACATTCCTGGCCTTACCCCATAAGATTCTAATTCAGTAGGTCTAGGAATGGGGCCCTACCACCTGTGTGATTAAGGAATGCTCCCAGTTACTTTGATACAAGTAACTTATTGCATTATGTCATATTATATATTATATTGACTATATAATATCATGTATCATGTTAACTGTATAATTTATCATTCAAGCCAGGATCCATTTGAGAGTAAACAAGCATACAATTAATAAATACACCTGGACAACAGGCATAAACTAGGACTATCCTAGGCAGACCTGAACAGGGCCTCCTACCTAAGGACCACTCTGCAAAATACTATTATAAAGCAAAATACTATTATAAAGCAAGCTCAGTTAAGTAGAATCACCAAAGAACACGAGCAAGGAAGGCAGTACTCTAAAAAGAAGGGAGGAAGGACACCTGGGTGGCTCAGTCAGTTGAGCATCCAACTCTTAATTTTGGCTCAGGTCATGATCTCAGTGTCATGAGATCAAGCCCTGCATCAGGCTCTGCAATCAGTGCAGAGTCTGCTTGACATTCTCTCTCCCTCCCCATGTCTCCCCACTTGTGTGCATGCTCTCCCTCTAAATAAATAAATAAGTAAAAAATAAAATTTTTTTAAAGAAATATAGAAAGAAAGGAGAGTCAACAAGAGACATCATGACTGGACTTCTGGTTTACCTTGTGACCCCCAGAGAATTTTTAAGCTAATACAGAGGTACCTGCTTCAAACCTCATCTTCCAGTCTTTGCTGTTGAAATTGCCATTTATGATTGTCCAGAAGATGTCAGCACCATGAGGAAGTGACAAAGCATGGAGAAGCAGAGGAACTGCCAATGAAGATAGCTGGGAGAACTCAGATTTGACGACTCTCCACAGGCTGAGGAAGCAAGAAGCAAAGTGGTTACAGTTATGATAACCTTTCTAGAAAGCAAATACAATTATCTCAGTTTATGGGATCTGTCGTTAACAGGCAGCTGGTAGGGATGCTTTTTGATACTCATCCACAAGACTATAAACCTCTGATAAACCTTTCCTAAATCTGTTCTGTTTATTTTCTTAAAGAAATTGCTTTTATGTAACAACACAGAAAAGCACTACTTAATACTATATTTTAATATAAAAAATAAAAATTATATATTAGAAATTCAAGTATATAAATGAGCAATGACTTAAAAATATACAAAATTGATATTAGTTCTGTTAAGATGATATGGTAAAAAGTGATTTTTTTAAAAAATTTTCTTATAGTGAATATCTGGAGAGATTTGTTGAGTTTGCCTGCCCAGCAGCCTTTCCTCTTTATTCTAGCAAAGAACAACTCTATTTCTATTAAGAACAACCTCTCCACCAACTGGCAGGGCTATCAGTCAAGGTCCTTCCCCTCCTTATCATAAGAGTGAACACAAAACTGGGTTGATGAAGGTAGTTGAAGGAAGCAAACTATATGCAGCACTGCTAGAAAACCATCCCAGTGACAAAAAAAAACCTGGATTTTACCAGTTCCCTAGGGCTTTCCCAATTCTCTAGGGCAGCCTTCTTTGAAATCAAGAAGATAGTGTCCTTCCCCAGATCCCTTGATTTTTCATCACGGCTTTTGTGTCAGGGTGGTACTTTGAGGAAAAAACTGGGTTATGTAACCCAAAGGCTGAGCCAGAAATCCCACAGCACCAGCAATCCATGGGGCCTGGGGAAATGTCCTGTAGAGGCTGCCTTTATTTACTTGTTTGTTTGTTTGTTTGTTTAGGGGGGGCAGGGTAGAGGGACAGAAAGAGAGAATCTCAAGCAGGCTCCACGCTCAATGAGCTGCCCAATACAGGGCTTGCTCTCAGAAGTTCCTGATATTGAAGAGGTTATTGCTTATGTTCTCCTCTAGGATTTTGATAGATTCCTGCCTCATGTTGAGGTCTTTTATCCATTTCATTATCTTTATGTATGGTGAAGGAGAAGGAAACAAAAGTGAGAATGAACTTTTGGGACTTCATCAAGATCAGAAGCTTCTGCACAGCAAAGGAAACAGTCAACAAAACAAGGAGGCAACCCACGGAATGGGAGAAGATATTCGCAAATGACACTATAGACAAAGGGCTGATATCCAATATCATAAAGAACTCTTCAAACTCAACACACAAAAAACAGATAATCATGTCAAAAAATGGGCAGAAGACATGAACAGACACTTCTTCAAAGAAGACATACAAATGGCTAACAGACACATGAAAAAATGTTCATCATTAGCCATCAGGGAGATTCAAATCAAAACCACATTGAGATATCATCTTACACCAGTTAGAATGGCCAAAATTAACAAGACAGTAAGCAACAACTGTTGGAGAAGATATGGAGAAAGGGAAACCCTTGTACACTGTTGGGGGAATGCAAGTTGGTGCAGCCACTTTGGAAAACAGTGTGGGGATTCCTTAAGAAATTAAAAATAGAGCTACCTTATGGCCCGGCAATTGCACTACTGGGTATTTAACCCAAAGATACAGATGTAGTGAAAAAGGCCATCTGTACCCCAATGTTCATAGCAGCAACAGCCACAGTTGCCAAACTGTAGAAAGAACCAAGATGCCCTTCAACGGATGAATGGATAAAGAAGATATGGTCCATATACGCAATGGAGTATTATGCCTCCATCAGGAAGGATTAATACCCAACTTTTTTATCAACATGGACAGGACTGGAAGAGATTATGCTGAGTGAAATAAGTCAAGAAGAGAGAGTCAATTATCATATGGTTTCACTTACTTGTGGAACATAAGGAATAACACAGAGAACATTAGGAGATGGAGAGGAGAAGGGAATTGGGGGAAATCGGAGGGAGAGACAAACCATGAGAGATTGCGGACTCTGAGAAACAAACTGAGGGTTTTGGAGGGGAGGGAGGTGGGGAGTTGGATGAGCCTGGTGGTGGGTATCATGGAGGGCACGTATTGCATGGAGCAATGGGAATGGAGCATAAACAACGAATTTTGGAACACTGAAAAAAAATAAAACAAAAAAAAAATTTTTAATTTTTAAAAATTAAAAAAAAAAAAAAAAGTCAGACACTTAATGAACTGAGCCACCCTGGCGCCCCCTATAGAGGCTGTTTTAACAACAAAAGTCGGCCTACTTAGTAGTCCCACTCCAGAGAATGAAGAGAGCTTCTGCCTAACTCCCAATCCCACTCCTTCATGGCTTTTGCCTGGACTTGTTCATCTATCTGTTCAGATCAGTCCTACTCTTCCCCACATCCAAGTCAGCTGGGCCTACCCTTCTACCAGCTCCTCCCATTCCACCTGTAGAACTCCCATTTTATCCTGAGGAAACTTTTGCAGACTCTCCACTTTTCCCATTCTATGTTCTGTACTGGGTTGAACAGTGTCCCCACCCAAGATACTCCTAATCCTGACTAAGACTTCTTTTCCCTCTTTTTCATATTCTTCTTCCAAACATCAATCCTCTTCTGATTTCATTTGCCTCCCATCTTAGACTGGATCTCAGAGGCAACCATTTCCTCCCTGCAAAATTCTTCGTCCCCACTTCCACCATAATCAAATCACAAATTCCTACTCCTGAATAAATCCACATTGCCTCCCTTTTCTCATCCACTCCCAGGCCCCAGAACTAACTTGGTCCTACTAATTCCTACTAACTTCCACCACAAGCTGGTGCTAGCTAAGCTCAGCTTGACACGACAGCAGGCCAGTCTTAGATTACTTCTTGTTGACACCCTACTAAGTTCCTCCATGAGCGATTCCATACATTTTTCCATGTTCCTTGAACTCTCAACCTAATCTCTATCCTCTTCCCTCTCAGGAAAAGACATCAGGACACACTACTCTTAACGTTCAGTAATGAGCTTCTCTTGACACTTTATTTCTCTTTTCCTCAAAATACATCTTTCAAAGAAAAGAGCCTCCCTCCTCTCTTCCATCCAGGCTTCGTTGTTGATCACATATACTTGTCTTCCAGGACCTCGTTCTACCAGCTACTCCCTTTCCTCTAATCCCTTTCACTGACCATAAATATTTTCAGATCTTTATCCTAAAAATCCTTGACATCCTCTCAATGTCCATCCAAATGGACATTGAAACCAATATCTTGGTTTATCCAAGATCTTGGTCTACATTATACTAATTGTTTGAGGTTATTTTGAAGAGCATGCCTTCTTCACTCTCAAAAGTAAATAATGTGAAGAATAAATTACGTGGTCACCTTCTGTATAAATAACATTCACCCCCTTCCAAACAAGACTGCAAATTCCCAAAGTACCTAGGATAATAATATATATAGCAAGCCCCCAGTGATATCTGTTGAATGAATGAATAAACAAAGGGAAAAAAATGTGAGAAAAGACAGAGCCTCAAGTCGGTTTTGTCACCAAGTTAACTAAGCCAACCTCTTCTTTCTTCTTACCACCTCATTCTCTTACATTTAAATGAGGATACTATTTTTCCTGACTTACTTTCAGGAAGACTCTAACAGTTATTTTGAGTTATTTTCTTCTCAAGCAGAAAAACATTATCTAAATCCAGGACAATATTTTATTGTTTTTCTCAAAATGCTTCTGCAGTCTCTAAAAATACTGTATCAGTCAATATGTGGAGAGGTTTTTGGTGTCTATTGGAAGTTCTACTTCAAGTAAGAAATCAAGTAAGTCTTTGGTACTAATATTATACTAGATGATACAACATAAATAGTGATTTAGTAATGTTGACATTTTTCTAAGGGACACTACACCGTTAAGATGTCCAACAACTGGGGCGCCTGGGTGGCTCAGTGGGTTAAAGCCTCTGCCTTCAGCTCAGATCATGATCCCAGGGTCCTGGGATGGAGTCCCGCATTGGGCTCTCTTCTCGGCGGGGAGCCTGCTTCCCTTCCTCTCTCTCTGCCTGCCTGTCTGCCTACTTGTGATCTCTGTCAAGTAAGTAAACAAAATCTTAAAAAAAAAAATGTCCAACAACTGATAAACAAATAATCCTTATTTTGCCTTCTCTGTTTCTACAGTGTCTAGTAAAACAAATTACTCTTCTTCATGTTGACATACTTAAACGTTAGACTTGGCAAAAGAAATGAGTTATTCCCATAGGCAGTTTGTCCTGGCTAAGAGAAGTGGCCCAGAGTTGATAAGTCTTGTCCTGACTTTGATTTTCACAGCGAAAGCCTAAAATATAAACAACAACAACAAAAACCTGCTAGGATGACATACCTTGCAATCAACATATGATCCTGAATGTAGGCTAAAAATTGAGGATGGTCTTTTCTAGCAATGTATAAACACTCTCCATGTAGACAGAGAATCTTCAGGCAATTGAGCATATTAAAAAGGATGTCTGGCTCTTCAAACTTCGCCATTTCCTACACGAAGAGACACGTGGTTACTACTGAGTTATCTAAAAGAGCAATGCTACCGTACCAAACACTTAAATATGTAAAAAAAAAAAAAAATACCTGGAAAATGGTGTATATTAGCCTCAAAGTTACAGGAAGCTGTTGGTAGCAAAACTTTCTCTCAGTGTCATTCTTTATTGCTGGAAAGAAATAATTACACGAGGGTTAGCCTAGTTTCTCCTTTACCCCACCACTCATGACCTGATCAAGACCATAAAACCAAAAGGACTGAAAATAAAGACACGATATGTTAAAAGGCATTTTGTGCAATATTTTTATTTGCTTCTCCAAGGTGGCATATATCCCTTCTGTGATGCCAGTAGAGGAAACCTTCTAGATTCAGGCTCTCGGCCTCCATGTAGCCCACCATATATATTCAGATGTCCTTGGCTCCCTAAAGCAACCCCAGCCTGGTCCTGTGCTCCTGTAGGCTGGGAGTTCTGTTGCCACCTGAAGGGGCCTGGCCTTTGGCTAGGTACACCTTCCTTATTGAAAGGAAGATAAGAACGTCTTAAGGAGATGTTCAAGTGGTATTAGCACCTAAGGAAGAATTTATCCCATGGAATCATGTCAAAGGGACTGTCTGAAAGAAGCTAGGCATACTCAAATCAGAACTACTCATGGTTTTAATCTTCTTGTGAGTCTCTCTAATACCTTTGCCCCTGCAGGTGGGATGGCAATATATGGTACCTGAGGCGTGCTGGAGAAAAGAATTCACAAGTTAGCCAGATGCAGACAGTAGTGTAAAACATTTTCAAACCACCGTTCTAAGTTTTGGCAATCCCTGGAGCCAGAGACAATGGGAGTCGAACTCTCTTGGAGTATATATTAATCAGTTCTCTTTGAGTATACACTATAAGTTCCGCTTTCATGTATTTTAAATACTTGTTACCGACCCTTGAGTCTATTTTTTCTAGAAAGTGTGAGAGTTTTAAAAGTATTTTTAGTGGAGGATATATCTAAGAGCTATAAGAAATAGGCACCAGGCCACAAATGCAGAAACAGGAAACAGTCTGAAAGGAAGGAGGAATCACAGAACACATGTTGATCGAACACGTTTGCTCTGACAGAGGAGCTCAAGACCACGGCCTGGAGGCCCACAGAGCAGAAGCGGGACTGGGCTCAAGAGCAGCAGGGAAGGCAGGTCTTGGAGGAAGATTAAGGCAGAGACAATTTATAACTGTGACCTGCAACACAGCAGGGAAAAAAGGCAGGAAAATAGACCAGAGGCCGAAGTCGTGTTTGAGGGAGACGAACAGAGCAGATGTTTAAGCAGGGAGAAGAGTCATTCATACAAAAAATTGCTTTATTTTAACCACTGTTCATATAAAACGCTCTGAATAAATAAAAGGAGCAGTTAAGTGATTTGTGTGCCATCTTAGGTTTAAAAAAATATATTTATATACAAAGAGTACAGGTTATTGGATCCTAAGTGACATCCTTGCTTCCTTTAGGCATTAATGCCTGACAGAAACAAGCCCTAGGCGGGGGTCTCAGAAAGGCATTAATTCCAAGTTATCCAGGACACCTGGCTTCAAGTCTCAATCCTGCCACCAACTAGTTGTTCAGTATTTGGAGTTCCAGTTCCCAGATCTCTGCCCCAGCTACACCCAGAATTGGGGGTGGGCGGTGGAGCTCATTCATTCTGTTTCAACTCCTCAGACGGTCCAGATGTTCCATTACAGCCTGGTGCCACACATAAGCCTAAAGCGTAAATCAGGAAGGAGGGCTATAAGCTGCACCACCAGGGATGTCTTTTCCTCGTGTGCAAAGTGAGATGGCTGAATTAGGTCAACAGGTTTCCAAGCTTTATTCTATGGACGATTTGGGTTAAAGAAACTCACTTAGAACTCCAACGTATGAAATAGAGCAGGTCAGCACACTCGGGGTGGAGAGAGTGGGCAGCCGGGGCTGTTCGTCAGAACTTGCCCCTGTCTTCCCACCCCTCACCACCCCAAATAAGGAAGGTCCAAAGGAAACAACACAGAGGTTGCACAACTCCAAGGACATGCTGAGAACCAATGAAGTAGGTCATCTCAAGGGTTCTTTCCATTTTTAGTTTTCCGTGGTTCTAAACAGAGTGATCTAAACTGAATTCACATTCAGATGGTCACGTGCACAACTAACACAGAAGCGGTTAGTTCTGACCAAGCATTTCATACTAATGAGACTAATGTCTTATTCAGACCCAGGGCTGTAATGCAGCCCAGAGTCACTGTTGGATGCTCACTGAAAGAATGACGGAAAGCCCAGGATTCCCAAACTTTGGTTCTGGGGGTGAGTTACCTGGTTCAGGATAATGGAAGCAGGAAGATAAAAAATGAGTCATGTTTATGCCAGGTCCTGTACAAATTCCCAAATTGCCACAGTGCAGATCTAGAAATCAAGCTTCCCCAAAGGCACATGGGCTCACATATGAAATTCCCCAAACTCCTTCAGACTATGAAAAGCTAGAGCACGATTCCCAGCCTGCCTGCCATTCTGCAGCCCCTAATTAGCCTGCACATAGTCTGCAAGCAAACCAGAAAGAGGCCATCCTTCCTCTAGCTCTGCACAAAGCCCACCAGCCTCAGAGCACAAAGCATTCCGCTGGATAGCGTGAGCCTGTCCAGAGACCAGGTCGAGCCCCTGGGGACAGAAGCTGCATGAGGTCAAGCTCCTTCGGCTCTATCCCAGAACACTCTGCCTTGGCCAAACGGCCTAAGTGGCCATCCAGAGTGCAAGCACCCTCTGCTCAGTCATTCAGCCTTGATTCATAGCAACTTCTCCACAAGAACCTGCTACACCGTAAGTAGAAGGTGCTGCTCACATGGTGGGTTCTGCTGGTAAGAAGCACATGCTGCCGGAAAGCAGCTCAGTGGCCTCTGCTCTGCTGGAAGTAACATCCTGGGAAATGGGTCATTTGCGCCAGTCTCCACTGGAGAAGCCAAACCCGAACTAGCCCAAGTCGACAGTAATCTAAAAAAACCAGTGTTCTGAACATCAATATTGTGCTAACGGGCATAGGCCAGAGTTCACCTACCAGCATGTTCCGTGGGCTCGGTGCAATCGCCGGGGTTCTCCCCATGCCTGGTTGCTGGATTCTCCTCCTCCTCACCTTCAGGGCCTATAATAAACTCTGGTCTGGAAGAAAGGAGGCTATCCTCAAGGCTGTCTGTGGGCTCCTGGAACAAACAGGACAAGCAGCCAGGTGAGCAGCCTGCTGGGGATGTCAGTGGTTCTGCTCAGCTCCACAAAGATCCACTGAGTGCCTGCTGTGTCCCAGCCCTGTGCTGAGCCCTAAAGGACAAAGGCACCTGCCTCAGAAGAAATGTGAGCTCACTTCCATAATAATTACAGGGACTTTGGATCAGCTGTCACTAAAACATTTTCATTCCCTTGAAAGAAATATGGAAAAATCTCAAAAACATTACCCTAGGCCTGCCTTCCCTATGATCATGTCCCATTTACCAAGTGATTCTAATCCATGCACATTTTGTTCAGTAACAGTACTTAACTAGCAGGGAATAATACGGGGTTCACAGCAATATATTAGGATACACACACTGATGGGGCGCCTGGGTGGCTCAGTGGGTTAAGCCTCTGCCTTTGGCTCAGGTCATGATCTCAGGGTCCTGGTATAGAGCCCCTCATCGGGCTCTCAGCTCAACAGGGAGCCTGCTGCCTCCCTCTCTCTGCCTGCCTCTCTGCCTACTTGTGATCTCTGTCAAATAAATAAATAAATAAAATCTTTAAAAAAAAAAAAAAGATACACACACTGGTTGTCCGAATACGTCAAATTTTTAGGAGCCAGAAATCGCTGCAATGTATGCTTTAAAGTGAGTTAGGCATGGCAAGCCAGGTGTCCGTTGACACATGAACAGAGAGACAAACTGTGTTATATACACGCAGTGAAACATTAGTCAACCTTACAAAGGGAGAAGTCTGACACCGGCTATGTGAGTGACCCTTTAGGACACAGTGCTAAGTCAAACAAGCCTTCCCTAAAAAGGACAATTATTGCATGATTCCAGATAAATGACAGGTCTACACTAGTCAAATTCAAAGATGCAGAAAGTAGAATGGAGGTGTCCTTGGGCTTGATGGGGGAGGAGGGAAACAGGAGGTTCTTGTTTAGTGAGTACAGAATTTCAGTTTTGCAAGATGACTAAGTTCTGGAGATGGACTGCACCACGTGACTATAGTATGTACGATGTATTTATAGACAATACATGTCAGATACAATACATATGTATAAAACCAGATGCAGAAATAGGTGAAATTGGGAAGATTAAAAGAGAGAGAGAGCACTAGTTACAGCTGCCGCTTAAAATATCCATCTCCAGTTAAGCTCCAATTCCAGCCTTTTTCTTTCCTTCAGGTCCCACTTCAAATATCTTCCTCTAAAATCATACTCTATTAGCTAACAATTTAACCAGTACACGTTTTTTTCAAGAATTATTTGACAGCCAGCTCAAGAGGGACACAGGGGCTGCGAGGGCCCTGGAGAATATCTCCGCCAACTTCCCAGTTTTGCTCAGCCTGACCCTTTCCCTAGGTCACCCATGAGCAAGGCACAAAATCACATTGTAAAGTGAGCTTCATGCAGTTCACTACGGTAAAGTGTTCCCTGCTGATAACCCACGGCTCTGGAATCATCCTCCCAAATGGCAGGGACTGGTGTCGCCCATCTTGAGCTCAAGCCTCCTGCTAGTCCCTCTGCCCCATTGTCACCCACTTGTCCCAGGAAGAGGACTGAAGAGCAAAGAAGGCTGACTCGCACAGTGGACACCCAGAAGTTTGGAATGTTCTACAAAATAGCCCTCTTTTACTGATGAGCATCTCTCCCATAAACATTCGGGAGAGGAAAACGGAATCCTTCAGCTTCCAAATGTGTTATTCTCAGCCCGTGACAAGTGCATGACAAAGCATCATGCGGATAGGAGAATGGTTTCATGGCTCGGTTTCTCTATACTTATGCTTACTCCTCCCTGTTTCCCAGGATGGTGCTGGAAAGACAGACACAAAACAGAAAGCCCTCTGGGGACAGGACGGGGTCAGGGCCTCTGCCTCCATCTCTTTACCCTCTCATGCCCTCCCTGAACCAGAAGTCTGCACCTGACAAAGCCGCATCCTCAGCTGATCCTGTTCTTAAACCACAGGCTATGGGAACCCATGGTTACTGCCATCCCCAAGGGCAGAGGCGACCCTCCCTCTTGGGATCCCCTGGGCACATTTCAGTCCTGTATCTTTCCTCTCTTCTCCTGACATGATCGGCTATTCTTTCCTTTTCTAAACTGCCTTCTTCCTTAGTTTTGGAGTCCTTGCTCTTTCTCATTGTTTCCCCTGTGTCTCTGGCCTCATCTCAATTTATTTCTAAGTCTTCAGGTCCCCTGTTTTCCCTCTTAAGAGCTGGTCCTTCCCAGAACGCTAGACGTGGTTAGCTAGCTTTCCTCTTCTCATTCCACACATCCCAGCACAATATGTGGGTGGCTCCAAACGTTTACCTACTCCTGACCTTCCTCCAAAAAACCAGATCCACATACCTGACAGGGAAGGACAACCCCTACCTGGATAGCTAAAAGGCATCTCAACCTGCTATGTCTGACTGTGCCTGCATCATACCCACTTCTGCTACTCTAATACTCTTCTATAAATAGCAATGTTATCAGCTCCCATGCCAGAAAACAGGGGTTTGCCCTCCACTTGCCCATACCTCAACACCAGCTAAACACCAGACACTGCTGACCCTCTTGCCTAAAAACCCGCCAGGCCTGCCTCTGCTCTGATCGCCACCACCATTGTTTTCATTCAGACTTCGCATCTCTATCCTGAGACCACGCTAGCCTCCTTGACTAGACTCCTGTCCCCGGGTGTCCCCAAACTCTCTTTTCTCTAATTCATCACATTGTATCCGCACCCTGATTAAATCCTTCAGGATTCCCCCATTCACCAAGACAAAACCCAAACTTCTGAGTCTGGCAGACAGAGCCCTTAATGAAGGGGAAAATAAGACCAAGTCCGTCTTGCTGGACCCGGCTGTCACTCCCTCCCACTCACTCACCACACACTCAACGGCTTGCGGATTCCTGAGTGTCTCATTCCCTGCTTTCCTCTGGATCACTTACACAGAGAGTTTTCTGGGTCTCAAAAGTCCTTCTACCCCACTGCCTTCATTTCATTAACTCCACTCCTGCAAATATGGCCCAGGAGCTCTCTTTCCTCCCCATCACACCTCCAAGCTGGATCTGCTGTCCTTTCTCTGCCCCCATAGCTCCCTTGCTCAGACCTCTCCCGTCACCCTTATCATGCTAATGGTTTTTCATTTATTTAAACATCTCCCTGATTAGCTTTTAAGCGTCTTGATTTTATTTTAGGTCGCTAGGACCAGGACTGTTTTGTAGTGAGGTTACCCAATGATAATGCTGAAAGACCATAGTCCAGGGAGGTTATTTTGCAACATAGAGGACGAATAAGTTTAGTAGGCGAAAGGTATTTAAAAATGAAGAAACACTTTACTGCATGTATGTTATACCTCAAAAAAACTTTTTTAAGAATTCACTTTCTACTTAGGGATAGAAAAGCGTGGTTCAGTCAGTTAAGCAGCTAACTTTGGCTCAGGTCATGATCTCCAAGTCCTGGGATGGAGCCCCGCATCGAGCTCCGCCCTCAGCAGGCGTCTGCTTCTCCCTCTCTGCCCTTCTGCCCCTGGTCATGCTCCCTCTCTCTCTCTCAAATAAATAAAATCTTGAAGAAAAAAAAAAAAAGAAGTCACTTTCTACTTAGCTAAACATTAGGGGAAAGGAAGAAATAGAGAAGATAGCAAACACTGGCCCAAATAATTCAGATTCACCTCCTTTTGATGGCATGAAGGTATTTTGGTGGTATGTGTATGTGCCTTAAATGAAAACTGGCTAAGCAAGAAATAACGAACATATGGAGTAGCTAATGTGTGGTATATATTAGTTGTTCTCTACTGAAACCATTTTCTTGGAAAACAGAAAATAAAATGAAGCCTTTACTGGTGGTTGATGAAGTCAATGGGTTTTATAAACTGGGGTTACCCAGGAATTCGTGATCTGTTTCCAATCTACTTACTTGATATTTGACATGTATATTTTGTAGTATTTACTGCTATCTGAACTTTGTAATAAAAGTTATTTTAAGAATACCAGTAATGCTTCATATTTATGAAAATTATATGAATGAATGCACAACAACCGTAACTCAAGACTCAAGAATTCTGGATAATGTAGCTCTAGCTCATATCCCTTCCCAGGAGAATTAGTTGGGAGAAGGAACAGGAAAACTTTCTTTTTAACAGTCTCACGTATAGCCCAGCATGGAGCATACAATGTTACTGGAGGAAGACCCCATTATACCAGCTACTACCGTCATTACCACTGTCAGATATGAGTCCTCTCATTTCTCTGACTTCTTACCACAAGCCGGCTTTCTTCTTTAGGAGCTAGTCTCTCCAGGAGTTCACAAGCAAGCTGATAGCAGAGAATACTAGACTGGCATAAGTTACACTCAATTGCTTTTTCGTCCTTCTGGCAGGTGTGAGAGCCCCCCCAGGGGGCTTGGAAGACATTGTTTATAATGGAAATGATGTCCTTTGATAAGCTGTGCTCTAAACCCATTGTGATCCCATCGTCTTGTAACTCCATCTGAAAAACATCAAAATGAAGGCAAGAAAAAAAAAAAAAAAGAAAGAAAAAGAAAGAAGGAAAGGGAAAAGAAAGAGAAAAGAAAAAAGAAGGAATTTGGTTCTTTGTCCAATATTCCATTAGTATATTAACTGGGGATAATTTTTACTATCTGACAATTATATTAAGTTATTTAAGGGTAATAAGGATTTTAGACCATGAGTATATATTATTTTCCACAGATTTTTTTAAAAAAAGAATATAAACATAAGACAAACAGTGGGAATTATTTTTAAAATCATATAGGACACGTAAAAGAGAGATTTTTTTTTAAACTTATCATTTTGTGAGATTTTACACATTTAAAAAATGCTGCTCCTCACCTAGTGTCCAGATCTTGGTTTCTAAATACCATTATCCATTATCCACTAAGAGGAACCAGGGCTCCTTGGAGAAATGGCTGATTTCAAGGTTGGGGCTAGGAAAATATAAAATGAGCCTGGAACATCTTATCATGCTAGAAATTAAGGAAGTGTTCAAAGAATGATGAGTAATATGTCAAAAGAACAAAGGAAGGGACTCCCACTAGTCAAATATGGGACAATATGAGCATCAAAATACAAGTAATCATAATAGTAGATTTTAACTCACTGAATAAAATAAGAATTCATGAGTACCTGCAGGTATAAGAAGATGAACAAATAAATACAGAAATGAGAGAAGGAAAACTATTTCTTCGGTAGAATGCCAGCTAATAAAAGATAATGAAATGAAAAAATTATCCTTTTGTTAACCAGGATCACTATAATTGATCCAGGCATGAATCATCCCTGGATGCTAAAACCAGTAGGTAAAAGTCTGATGAGAACAGGAAATCTCAGCCTGCAGGTTACTTACTAATTACAAAGGGAGAAGTAGGGATTTTGGAGTAGAGAAATCACCTTAACCAAGTTATCACCACTAGTAAGGCAACATTATCATGCCATGTGACTCCTGATATGATGCACTGGAAAGGATATAACATCACACCAGTGGCATTACTGCCAAAAAAGGTTTAACCCAAATAGATTCGTGACATCACACAAACTCAAATTGAGGGACATTCTAAAAAATAACTGGACTGCAGTCTTCAAAAATGTCAAGATGAAGGATGAACAAAGACTTAAGAACTGTCTGGATGAAAGAAGACTAAGGAGACAGGACAAATACTTGCAAGGAGTGATGCTGGATTGTTTCCTAGATCAAAAACATCTTTTTCTTCTACTATAAAGATTTAATTATTACGTCAATTTAAAAAAATGATTAATTTCTGTGGGTCAGATAATAGATAATAGTATTATAACAATATTAATTTCTTGACTTTGATTTCCTGATTTTGTACTTGGTTATACATGAAAATGTCCTTATTCTTCAGGAAATACATACAGAAGTGTTTGAGGCCAAGGGGGCATCACATCTGCAACTTACCTTCAAGTGTTTATTTTAAAATTTCTACAATTCATACATACATATACAGATAGAGAGAGAGAAAGAAATATAATAAATGTTAATATCTGGACAATCTGGGGGAGGCATATTCGGGAATTCCCGTACGTTTCTAACAACTCTTCCATCAGTCTGAAATTATTTCAGAACAAAAAATTAAGAAATGTTCTCCTGATTAAAGACTTTTATATGTCTCTTCTGAAATTACCTTCAAAAATCGATTTATGCAATACATTTAAATCAGCCCATCACTATAGAGCTGCACCTTGCCCTTCCCAATAATAGCATCACTCGGTTCACCAAATTTGTTCAATAGAATCAATTCTAACGATGCTAGAGTGTTTCTAAAATTCACATCCATTCTCATATGTCAACATCATTGGAGATATTCATACAGTGTTTTTCAGATTCCCTAGGGAATCCTGAAAGGAGTTTTCAGAATGTCTTGAGTGATGTTGCATCATTTCATAAGCAAGAGTCCAATACATAGCAAGAATCACTGTACAATGCGTTCCCTTATTCTTCACCGCAGAACTAAAGGAAGCTCATGCTTCAGCTACCTGCTTCAGGAGAAGATCAAACATGAGGATGAAACAATTTAGATTCATTTCATCATCTTCACAATCAAAGTCAATAGTCCTTCCTCCTGGGTGTCCAAAATTCTTGAAAGGGCTACGAAATGGACTACGCATGGGACTCCGAAATGGACTCTGGAAAGGGCTATGAAATGGACTCAGCATATTGTGCTGAACTCGCCGGCCCGGATCAGAGGCAACACTCACCTAGAAGAAAGAACATCAACACATGTAAGGGAACTCACAGAAGCCAAAAGGGCTAGATAAAATATCTGGGGTCTCAGGGAAGGTATTTCCAGCTGTCACACTGATTTCCTTCCTTAGTCAACAAAATTAGTACTTCCAAATAGTATAGATCTTCTCAAAATATAAAAATAAGAAATAAAATCACTGACATGAGGGCTCATGTCTATTAAAAAAAAAAGGAAATAAAATCATCCAAACTTTGTGACTAATGGTCAGGTGAATGAAATATTATCACCTTGAAGAATGAAGGTAGCTGTCTTTACCATTATATTGCTCTTCCCATCCACATTTCCAATTAAACTAAATTAAACTACCTAAAACCATAACCTGAAAAATGAGACCTTATAAAATATTACAAGATCAGTTTTAGAATCATAAGCACAAAATCTGTTTAATGTGATTGGTTAAAGAAGAATGGCATCTGGATATTATAATTATTAAACTACCATGTGTAAACAGTAGATGTCAAACCTGTTGTACTGGTTATTGTCTATTTGCCTAATTCAAGCCCCTCACTGCCTTCCTCTGCCCTGCTCTATGCCCAAGGATGCCAAGGTCAGAGTATCTCCTGGCTTTCTTGCTAGCTGGCTTCTAGGTAGGTTCAGTCAATGGGGGCACCAGTAGAAGCCCTGCAGCTGAAGGGGAGAGGGGTGGAAGTATATGTCCATCCCCAGCCTACTTTGATGCTACAGCCTTGGCAGTCTCTCCATCGTTCTTCCAGCCTGTCTTTCCTTAACATTTCAGCTCTTAATGGGCTCCAGGGACTCTTTTTTTTGTTCCTTCCACCCTGGGGGCTATAATGGCTTCCCACTGAGCTGTTACTGGCATCTAGGTGCCTCACCAACCCTTACTGCTCCCTTAATCTTCCCCATAACTCTATAGGCAGAATCTCCATGAAAGTCTTTCATTTGAACCATCTGGGATAAGTTCTGTAGCAGGATAATTACTGACATATCTGTACTATATATCCCTCTGAAATTTTCCCTCTTAAAAATCTCTTTAGAGGAGCCTGGTTGGCTCAGTTGGTTGGGCTACGGCCTTCAGCTCAGGTCAGGATCCTGGAGTCCCGGGATCGAGTCCCGCATCGGGCTCCCTGCTCAGTGGGGAGTCTGCTTCTCCCTCTGACCATCTCCCCTCTCATGTTCTCTCTCTCTCTCAAGTAAATAAATAAAATCTTAAAAAAAAAATCTCTTTAACAACTAGCAAGTTCCCTGAGCACCATATTTGAGTAAAAAAAATAAAAAATAAAAAAAGAGTACCCCATCAAGAACCAGAATACCTGGATATTGACAGTGTTATCTAGGGCAAATCACTTCAGCCCACTGAACCTCAGGTTAAGTATTGATAAAATGAGGATAATGAGTTCTTCTCCAAATGCCTCACACCGTTCTTGTGAACACATTGCCCAGTAGAAAGCACCAACTAGTCAACTAAAGATTACGGAAAAAAGAAACAAAATATAAATGTTTGCCAGCTGGTTCCTATGAGGCAGATGAGAAAAAAAAGTAATGATTAAAATCAAAAGAAAGCACTGGATGCAAACTATGATCCCACGACTTTGACATATTTCCTAATCCCTAGATATCAGGTAGGAATGACACTAGGAAAATGGTATGGGGAGGCTGATAAGGGCAAGTTGAGCAGAGTCCCTGCTTACCATCCCATGACAGTGACCCTGGCCAGAACTGATCCTTATCTGGGAATATCAACACATCAACAGAAGCTCTCTGAGGTGCTCCAACATATCAAAGAGTCCCAATAGTTTTCCTACACTTTAGGCCAGACCATGTTGACTTTTCTCATTCACAAAGGTACAAAAGGGTCCAAAAAAAAATGGGCTCAATGGGTCCACAGTGACAGCATCACTCACAGTCACCATCAGACAATCACATCTTCTCAAAACATGATAGAACAAAACATCCCAACTTCTCATCCCCAAAGTGAAGCACCCATCTGCCAAACAGCTGGTAAAGAATTCTTGTTCACCAGGAGACCAAAAGAAAAAAAAAAAAAAAAAAAGGAATAATACCTCCAAGCTAACTCTTTTTGCTTTTATCAAGGGTAAGAGATAGTTAACAAGTATGGGCAGGAGAAAAACTCGATAATTTATTGACCATGATTATATGAAACATATCTTAAACAATGACTTGTATGATTTAATGTATTTAAAAGATTAACAGAGTGAGATGGGATGAAAGAGCATTTTCAGAGAAGTTTATTATGATGCTACTTTTGGAGCCAGTAGAATTGACAAAATCTTAACAAATAAGACAAGAACAGTGGTGGCAATAATTACCCTTCGAGCTGCAAGGTTCCCTGCCAGTTCACTGACTCTTGATTTTCTTTGATTTGCCAGTTCTTTAACAGAATTAACTCCATCAGAAAACATACTTATCAATAGTTGAAGTGGAACCATGATGTCTAACTCTGATAAGACCTGGGGAAAAAAGGCATATATCCCCCCCCCAAAAAAAAACATAAACTTTAAAACTCAAAGTAAAACTGCATTTATCATTTTTTCCCAAAGCGAACGATTGAACATGAGGATATTTAGCCTTATGCACATTCTACCAGCACAGCAACCCTCAATTTTTCATACTAAAAAATCAAAGTTATTATTGAACCTGCCAGCTTCCCCACTCTCCACATCCCATAATCTCCGTGTTATTTCTATTCAAACTTCAAAGTATCTCTTGACACCATCTCCTCCTTCCCATAGAATAGTGGCTTAGTTCACCACTTTCTTTCTGGAGTAGTGGAACTTGCATGCAGTCCTCCTCCAGTCCATACCCCCCTTGGACCTGACTGCCCCATCTCATCAGCTCACGTATCTTGCCAAAATCTAGCAACTCTCTTTCTGTAATGAGTTTTTGAAAGTCGACGCCGCCTTCCTTCAGGCAGAACTAATCCACCCCTCTTCTCTGCTTCCTTGGATAGAACTCTGTATACACATTTACTAGAGCAATTGTTTTTCATCATATTTGATTGTTTGATACCGTCTCTCCCAGTGTGAGCTCCCTGAAGAAAGGAAGTATAAAGAAAGGACCATTTCTTATCCCATTTTCATTGGAGTGCCAATTACAGTGCCTGGCACAGAGGAAGTCTATAAATGTTTCCACAGTTAATTAATAAATGAGTCAAGGCCAATCACTATTCTGTTCACACTATTCCCCAAAAGGTCAGACCAGTGGTTTAAAACCTTCAGCCACAGCACCCTGTCTTCAAACCAGCACTCTGGGAAAGCCCTTTAAAACACAGCTGGGATTGCTCTCATCATGGTGAGGCCAGAGGGTGACGGCCCTGTGCACTCACCCCTCCATAACTCAGCCTAAAGTGCGGGCGACTGAGTGACAACACCCAGCCCTCTGTGGAAGGACTGGCTTTCCTAAAATGAGAAATTATCTTATTGAGATCCACCAGGGTATGAAAAGTGTCCAAAAGGTGACTTGAAAAAAAAAAATCCCGTCCCTTTGCTCTTTGTCAGTTATGAAAGGTGTCGTTCCTCGATGTAGAACCCAGAAAGGTATCCTCATGACCTGAAAAGCTCTTGGTTTCACACCCATCTGTGATTCAGCAATGTAACAGCACCCATGGCTAATCTAAACACTGACCCACACTTCTTGTTGCGCACTCGACTCTATTTAATAAATGTTTAGGAACGTGCACTAAATAAATACGAGGCATGTGCCAGATGCCGAGAGGAGAGGGTGAAGGGAGGCATGAATTCAAACATGAAAAGGCCTGCCTGGTTCCCATCCTCCAGGCATCTGCAATCAGGGGAAGAGACAAAAACGAACTGAATATTAGGCAGAGTAACATTTGCACAAAGAGCCTATGTGAATACTGGAGGGAAGGAATAATGAATTCTGAAGGGAAAATGAGGGTGTGAAACAGCAGCAGACTTCATAGATGAGATCATTTTTGAGTTGGGCTTTAAGGTTAAGCTGGATTACAAATGCAGACCAGACAGAAAAGTATTCCAAGCTTGGGGGAGCAGCAGGAATGCCTCCCTAAGTCGGTAGCTGTCAACCGTTCCAAGTAAAGGACGTATTTAATATGAAACGATTTATTAGGACACCCACAAGACAGCTATGGTACCTTTACATCGATTGATGGAAAAACACATAAGGACCAAAGCTATTATGACTTCAGTAACGGTGTTGCATAAATCTGTATTTTGTTAACCATAACTACAGCCACATATATTTGAAATCTAGGTATTCATCTGTGCAGTGAGTTATTAGTCTATAGACAGTCCTCAGCAAACATGTGAATTTATGGACTCTTTGCAATAACTTCCTGCTCCTCTACCCAGGGATCTCAAATTTCCAGGCTAAGAACTATTGCCCCAAATGATGAAAAGTATCATCTACTTACATGAAGCCACAGTAAAGCTTGTTCCTGAACAGAGGAAGGGTATCCTGTGAACCGGCAACTAATAAAGCCAAACATTTCTTCCAATGAAAAAGGTAGAGGACAGAGCTCAATGTCAAACATTTTGCTGGAAAGCAGAGCCAACAGAAGTAAATGACCAATGGGCATGGATGAGGGTCTCCCGCTGCATTTTTAACTCTACCTTACCTGGGGGACCCAAACACTTCTGATTGGTCTGTGTTCTGAATGGTAATATCAAGTTTGATTTTACTATAATAGTTTATGTCATTAGAACAGGTATGAAGAATTCATATGGTTGTTAACTTAGTGTTTGTACTCATCCTAGGCTCAACAGAAGGAAATGCATTTCTAAGGAATTGGAGTTCCTCCCCAGCATCTAAGAACATTTTCCCTTTGCATTTTCCCCACTTTATCCAAATCATAACTATATTTAAAAATAAGCAAACAATATGGTGTATCTATTATTCCACAGAACAAAATCTTTTCTGAACAATTCCAAGTCATCTCAGCCCAACTGTTAGCAACTGCTTTGTTTTTCACCTTCAAATTTCTCTAAAGGTCTATTAAAAAAGAAACAAAGATTACATGAGATGTTTAACACCATGCCTGGCACATATTACATGCTCAGTAAATGTTAGACATCATTATAATTATGGTGACTTCATTAAACTACTTACCCACCTTAATACTTCCCTGAATTCTTTTAACTGGTTATCTGGGACTTCTGTTCTGATGGCTTCCAGCCACTCCGGCATGATACACTCCCACACAGACTGACTGATCACATTGTAGGGGATCAGGCAGAGGATTCGGTTGAGCCCTTCCTTCAACTGAGTCACTGTGCTGCAGGACTTATCCCAGTATCCACCAACCTGGTGGCATTTCCACAGCCACAGGGGAAAAGAGTAAAACGCACCTGTTAGGATTATACTCTAAGGACTTCCTAAAGGAAACGGGTATGGAGAAAGACCACAATCCATTACATCGGAATCCTGGGCCAAGTATTTCAGTGTGAGATCTGTAAGAATCAGTAAACCACTAGGATCCATTAGTTACAAAAAAAGAAACAATCGTTATAAGTAGGTCCAAATATCAATTCCAGACTGAATTTGAACTAATCTACTGCAGTCTTTCCAGATCACACATGAATTAAAATTCCCAAGATTTTTATTCATAACAGAGTGAGCATACTACACAATACTATACTATTGGAGTATTATTATTTCTAAAGTTGGACAAACCCATTAAAATATGTGTAGTCACACCTGTGCTTCAGAAGAATATAGATTTCTACTACTGGGCACTTTGCATTGAATATTTTTCATTATGGAAAACAAAGTGGCAAAGAGCACTCTTTTTCCCGCTGCATATCATGCCACAATTTTTTTCCTAAAAATGCTCTTAGGCAGGTTGAATTCATGAACAAAAAAGACATACTAATTTTTACTAAGTAAGGTAGTATGTTAATTTTCCAGTGCAGAAAAAACTCAAGTCACAAATTTGGGTTCTGTTTGTAATTCCAATTTTAGGTGACGATCTTATATTCTTATTAAATGTATCAAAGTAATAGAGGCTCAGATATCTATTTAGTATCATATTGTCCAAAATCCTAGATGACTGACTGGGTATTTTTAGGAAGCGACTACATTTCTGGGGTTGTCACTGTTGTTGTCAGTTACAGAGACTCAGAAGAGCTAACACTGACAATGCTGGCAGTGTGGGGTGTATATCCCTGCTGAGACTCCTTTGGCCGTGTAATGTATAGGTGAGCCACGTAAAGCCCTATTGGTTTTGAGTCACATTTTGGAACAAGTATCTCCGTGGTGTTCCTAAGTTGTCAACAGCCAGACAATGGATCCTTTGACTTGGCAAAACTGGTATATTTAAAAAGATTTCTAGAACGTTCTCATCTTAAACAAATGTCCTATTACCAATATGGGAGGATCAAATTGATAAGAGACACACAAAAGATTACAGCCAGCCCTAAAAGACTTCCCTAGCAAAATTCTAGAACAGAAATCAGATTTAGAACAAAAATTAAAATTTGCCCCCACCATGAACTCCCCTCCGCCTCCTCCTCTTGTGAATGACCCAGTTGGAGGCCCATATTCAGAGCTTGATAGGAGCTATTATAGAGGCCTTCCCTCCAAAATTTTATTGGGCTAAAGTGTACTCAGAGGGAAGGGGAACATCCTAAAGCCTTTGCCAAGCAATTTATAAAAATATTGCAAAGGCACACAGCTCCAAATCTACATGTCTTAGAATATAGGAATCTTCTGTTTTTCCCCCTTAGCTGGAAATCTTCTCTCATTGTTATAAAGAATTCAAATGAACGCAGTTGATCGGGCAGGCCAGCTCCTTCACTAACGTTATTAGCAAGTCTGCTATCTCATTCTTTGAAGAATTAAAAATAACTGTCCTCGCCTTACTAATTGGATCTTTGCAGAATCATCATGGATCCAGAAGTATCCCAAAGCCCATCCATGCTTATTATCAATCCCAAAGCCTCCCCTCTTCATCTCAAGATTCCTGCAGATACTATAAACAGTCAGGACATTGGAAAAGAGGGTCCCTGCACTGAAGAAACACTCCAGGAGTGACCGTCTCAGGCCTTTGCCTCCTCAAGCCCACTCCTCTGAGCCCTCCTCTCCACTCAGACCTCCACCCGGACACGCTCAAGACTTCAGGCTCAGCACAAATAATGTTGTCCACCCCCCCACGCCTCTCCTGCCTTGAACTGCTTGCTCATAAAAGCTCCATGCCACGGGAGAATGTATTATTTGCTCCAATCAAAACCTAATAGACAAATACCTCCCTGAGCCCTCTCAGACCAGTGACTAAAAGCTTGAATCTTTTTCCTCCCCTTTGAGATGTAAATCTCCTACCACCCAGAACTATCTCTCTGAGATGCAAACATCTAAGAAAATAACTCTGGCTCTCAGCCCCACAGTGCCTGGCTTTCACTTGTACTATTGCTTACTGTCCTAAAACAGGAGACATTTACTCCTCCACCCGAGAAGCTCCAATTAACAACCCCCTTAGCAAACCTCCATTGTCATTGTCCTTAGCATATCCCAGCCTTCACGAAGTTAACTTCTTGGGGCGCTTGGGTGGCTCAGTTGGTTAAGCATCTGCCTTTGGCTCGGGTCATGATTTCAGGGTCCTGGGATTGAGCCCCATAGCAGGCTCCCTGCTCAGTGAGAAACCTGTTTCTCCTTCTCCCTCTGTGCTCTCTCTCCCTCTCTCTCTCAAATAAATAAATAAAATCTTAAAAATTAAAAAAAAAAAAGTTAACTTCTTAGCCGACTGAAATAAGTAACTGTCTGAGGCTGAACCCCAGCCTTCGTGAGATTCCATATCAGGGCCAATAAAAAGATTGTGAGGGTCTCCTCCACACATACTGATAAAAATCTTCAGCCTTTATAATGAACAGGTCAACCACTTGTTCCATCTGTTGGAAACAGAATTTGAATAACAGTGAGGATGAAAAGTGCATATAAGCACCAACTCTTATATAAACTAGCGATTCTTGTATTTCTATGACAGTCTCCTATTCAGGTCAACAGATCTTCCTCAACTCATCATTGCACTACGACCCAATGAGCCCATTGTAAGTTGAAAAATCATGTAAGCTGAAAACACACTTAATACACCTAACCCGGGACGCCTGGGTGGCTCAGTTGGTTAAGCAGCTGCCTTCGGCTCAGGTCATGATCCCAGCGTCCTGGGATCGAGTCCCGCATCGGCCTCCTTGCTCATCAGGGAGCCTGCTTCTCCCTCTGCCTCTGCCTGCCATTCTGTCTGCCTGTGCTCGCTCTCTCTCCCTCTCTCTCTCTGACAAATAAATAAATAAAATCTTTAAAAAAAAAAAAAATACACCTAACCCACCAAATAGCACAGGTTAGCCTAGCACACCTTACTTGTGCTCAGGACACTCACATGGGCCTACAGTTGGGAAAAATCATCTAACACAGTGTCTATCTTATAATGAAGTGCTAAATATCTCATGTAATGTACTGAACCGTGGGGACCGCAAGTGAAAAACAGAATGGTTGCCTGGGTGCGGAACGGCTGTCAATGTAGTAGCTGTTTACCCCATGATCACGTGGTTGGCTGGGAGGTCAGGCTCACGGCCCTTACCCAGCATCAAAAGAGAGAGGATCGTACTGCATATCCCTAGCCCAGGAAAAGATCAAAATTCAAATTCTGAAGTAAGGTTTCTATTGAATGTGTATTGTTTACACACCATCGTCAAGTCAAAAAAATCATGAGTTGGGGACTTGTATTCGTGTCTGCCTGTATGTTTGTATAGGTATATTATGTATATATGTGATATTTTCTTACCTCTGAATGGTACTGACAAATCAGTCTATAAAATCCATTAAAAGATCTCTATTCCAAATGAGCTTTAAAAACATAAGAGTTGGGGTGCCTGGGCGGCTCAGTTGGTTGAGCATCTGCCTTGGGTTCGGGTCATGATCCCAGGATCCTGGGATCAAGCTCTACATTGGGCTCCCTGCTCAGCGGGAGCCTGCTTCTCCATCTCCCACTCCCCCCTGCTTATATTCCTTCTCTTGCTATGTCTCTCTCTGCCAAATAAATAAGATCTTTTGAAAAAAAAAGGGGGGGCTTATATAAGTTAAATATTCCCCAAACTCTCAGAAATATAGAAAGTAACCCAAATGTTTATCAAGTTCATGCAATTTGGGTCAATATTTGATAAATAAGACTAAGTTTACATTGTTGGTCTAGTAAAAACAGTTGTGTCTTCTGAGTTATCAGCACTGAATATGGTATGATTATCAATTTTATTCTACACGGGGTTACTAGTCAAATAAGCTAATACTATACTTACTAGATGTTTAAGATTATAAAACTAATAGATTTCATTTTAATTAAGTTAAATGATTATTCTTTTTCTTAAATTTTATTTATTTATTTGACACAGAGAGAGAGAGCACAAGCAAGTGGAGTAGCAGGCAAAGGAAGAGGGAGAAGCAGACTCCCTGCTGAATAAGGAGCCTGACACGGTGACTTGAGCCGAAGGCAGGGGCTTAAACAACTGAGCCACCCAGGCACCCCAAGTTAAATTATTATTCTGAGAAGCTTTATTTCAACAATAGTTGTGTTATATAATATGTCTGATTAGAAGTAATTTCCAGGGGCATCTGGGTGTCTCACTTGGTTAAGTGGTCAACTCTTAGTTTTGGCTCAGGTCATGATCTCAGGGTCCTGGGATCCAGTCCTGTGTCAGGCTCCACACTCAGCCGGTGGGGGAAATGGTGTTTTGCCTGGGGATTCTCTCCCTCTCCTTCTGTCCCTCCCCCCACTCATGCTCTCTGTCTCACTCTAAAATGAATTTTTAAAAAATAAAAAATAAAGGGGCGCCTGGGTGGCTCAGTGGGTTAAGCCTCTGCCTTCCGCTCAGGTCATGATCCCAGGGTCCTGGGATCGAGCCCCACATCGGGCTCCCTGCTCAGCGGGAAGCCTGCTTTTTCCTCTCTCTCTGCCTGCTTCTCTGCCTACTTGTAATCTCTGTCTGACAAATAAATAAATAAATAAATCTTTTAAAAAAATAAATAAAAAAATAAAAAAATAAAAAATAAAAAAATAAAAAATAAAATAAAATGAATAAACAAATCTTAAAAAAAAAAAGAAAAAAGGAAGAAGTAGCATCCAAAATCTTTTTGGCAGCTTGAAATTACAGTTAAACTAAATTGTGTGAAATGATCTAGATATTCGTTGAATATCTAGATCATATTCGTTGAATATCTAGATCATTTCTAAATAAGACAAAACACTGAAGCATTAATTCTTGAATATAAGTTCATCTACCTTGGGATCCTTATTTTGACAGAGAGACTAAAGATACTTTGATCTGTTAATAAATGTTCTTTTTGCCATACTGAGAAATTATACTATGAAGCAAATAGCTCAGAAGTTATAAGGTAGTATATTCATAAAATTTGCCAATATGCTACAGAATGCTGGTCAGTGACAGGCAATTCACAAACTGTCTACCTCCCAGTTTTCTCTGAAAAATAGAGGTTAGTTAAGTGTTGAAAAGCATAATCAATATATGCAAGCGAAACCATTAGAAATAATGAGTGAAGGAAAAAACTGTTTGCAAAATATTCAAGGAATGTACAAATTACATTCTGTCCTAACATCATTGTTTAGAGGTTGTGTGAGGATCTCCAGGTTAAAAAAGAAGAAAGTGGGTGCCTGGTTGGCTCAGTGGGTTGAGCCTCTGCCTTCAGCTCAGGTCATGATCTCGGGGTCGTGGGATAGAGTCCCACGTCAGGCTCTCTGCTCAGCAGGGAGCTTGCTTCCCCCTCTCTCTGCCTGCCTCTCTGCCTACTTGTGATCTCTCTCTGTCTGTCAAATAAATAAATAAAATCTTTAAAAAAATAAAATAAAAAAGAGGAAAGTGAAGGACAAAAACCTGAATGGAAATAAAAAGTTGTAAGGGATGGTGTGGAGAGCAGGGACAGAGAAGAGAAAATCTTAGCAGCCTGTGTGGTCAAACTGGCCAAGATGAAATGGATTAATTATAAGGTTTTTTAAATGGGCTTTAATATTAATAGTGTAACAGTATACAACTTGACTTTGGCTTTCTTTCTCTAAAAAGGACAAAGTTTCTTGGATTATTGGTCTGGTCTTAATAAGAAATTGCAAAAGGTTTTTCTTTACCTTTTCAGTAATGTGTCTAGGAAATGAAGACTGTGTCTTACCAGAATTTCCTATGATTTATGTTGTCTTTATCATGTCCTCAATTACTTAAGAGAACCAAGTCTTCTCAATTAAAAAAAAAAAGCTGATTTTTTTAATAATCATGTTACAAACTATATTTACTTTGGAAATTTTGTCATTTTGGTTACACAGATAACTAAATATTATTTTACAATGACCCCATGATCCTGGTCAAGCAAGTGTTTAAACCTTTTAACATTTTTTACAACTTTTATATTTTACCTTCCCAAAATCAAATCCTAAATTAAGTCCTGATCTCAAACTGACTTTCAAATTTCTGACAGGGCCCCTAGAAAAATCTCAAAGGACTTTAACTGTTCTAGTAAAAAAACCCAAAAATCAAAAAACATTAAACTAACCAGGTTTACTTGATATGTTGAATTGCACAAAAAGCATCTTCAATTACAAAAAGATGTTTAACCTTCCCTAGCTTATAATTGTACAGGTAAATGTTTTTAATACAAACACTTCAGGAGTTCCCTGAAACTTCTAGAAATTTGTCAGTGCACTTCCTGCTCATGACACATCCTCATGCTGCTTTGCCCGATAGCTGACAACGACAGCAGAATGTGATTGTAATTCCAGTTACTCTCATCAGATCTTTGATTACAGCCATTTTAAGTCTTTTATCATTTACAGATTGTTACTGTTTTATTTTGATGCTTTCCTGAAAGCTCTTGCAATCAGCCACTAGACAGAATGCTTTAACTTCAGTAAAAAGGACTGTCTCTGAGACCCGTGTAAAGAACTATGACTGGCAATATGATGGCTTTGCATGCCACGGGCCTGAGCCAGGCTTCCAGAATTCTGGTAGAGAAGCTCATGGGTTCATACAACTGCTAACCCAAGATCAAGCCAAACAAAAATTAACTACATGGGGCTGAATGAACTTATGAAGAATGATGATCATTTTTATTTTTATTTATTTATTTATTTATTTATTTAGTTTGAAGCATTGCTGTCTCTTTACTGTTCTATTTTCTGGAGAGAAGGTTTTTCTTAAGTTATCTATAATTTATAACAACCTAGTAGATTACATCTTTGTAAACAACAATGAAACATTTGTCTTTTTTTGTCCCCCCGTCTGATCCCTCCAAGGTTCAGAAACTCTTGGTAAGTATACTTATTTTCATGCAGAAGTTTAAGAAGAATCTGTTCTCCTTGTATTAGAGCATAATTGGAAAAGCTAGTTATATCACCAAGACCTTGACTGGGGTGTCATATTTTACAAATATGTGCATAGAATCAGATATGGCGAGGCCGTTTTAAGGAAGGAGCAAATGCTTACAAAGCCCTCTTGGAAGAACCAGCCTGGTACCTGGCTTATGGGAATCCCTGCCTTTAAGCAAACAAGACATGTCACTCCCTGGCCAGCCCAGGAAGCTTAGAATATTTTGGTGAACTCAAAAAGAGAGAAATTTACCCAAATCTATAGGCACTACAAATGAAGTATGATGACAAGTTACTGACTTGGCATCCTGACCCCTAGAGGTTTATAAAAGCCCCATGTGAGATTCTCCATAAAAACTCCAGCAAAGTGAACATCGAAAAGTTCTATTTGGTCAATTACCATTCTCGCTGCATTTACAGAAATAATTAGGCCAAATTTAATAAGACTAGACTTACTCTGTGAAAAAGTAATCTTACTTTGGTTATCTTTGATCAAAATGAGGGTGATTGGAAAGAAAGATTTTATGTTTCGGTGGAAAACTATAACCCACCCTTGTGAGTTATCAGATTCTAGTCCTATTCATTGTCTTTGAGCTATTTTTCACCTCTTCATAAACTGAATCCTGCTGTCTTGCACACTTTTTAAATTTTTATTTAAATTCAATTTAATTAACATATACTGTGTTATTAGTTTCAGAGGTAGAATTTAGTGATTCGTCAGTTGCACAGAGCACCTTGTGCTCATTCCATCGCGTGCCCTCCTTAATGCCTGTCACTGAGGTACCCCATCTCCAAGCCCCTTCCCCTCCAGCAACCCTCAGTTTGTTTCCTATGATTAAGAGTTTCTTATGGCATCTTATTTTATTTTTCCTTCCTTTTTCCCTATGTTCATGTTTTGTTTCTTAAATTCCACATATGAGTGAAATCATATGGTATTTGTCTTGCACATTTTTTTAGTAACTAATGTTTCCAATTTTTCTCCCACCCTGCTGACTTGGTATCACTGAAAACTAAAACCTGACCCCCCAAATCCTTACTGAGATTTAGGCTGTCTTGCTCCAAACCCCCACCAGCTAGAGCAAGATGACTTGCTAAGAGCTTCAAAGGGCTTACTGGGGCAACAGCCTCGGCCAGTCAGGAAGCTCACCGAACACCCGCATCAGCCGTGCTCTGCTCCAGGGGCACTGATGTCCTCCATCATCTAAAGGTGTGTTAAGCCCAACATCTACAGATCTTGACTGGCTGCCCTGTGGCCTCAGAGACTATGTTTATAGTCTACTCTCACCATTAACCTCAGTTTTGTTTGCCCATCTGCTCCTTGTCCTAATCTATGCCCTCACCTCCTTTACAGATCTCTCCCTTCCAAGTTCCTAACCCAAATCCACAGCAACCAACCGTGCTTCTTTTTTGAAACTTCAGGAGAAGTTTCAGATGGGAGAAATGGTGGGAACACTCTGACCCTCAGACTTGGTATAAAGATCATTTTAATGAGAACACTGGAGCGGAAGAAGATGCAGAGAGAAACCTTACCCCAACTTCCCTTGTCTGACTGAAGCAGAGCTTCTGGAAAATACCACTTCCATTAAAGGGAGTTGCCTGTGAATTCCACTCCTGTGGAGACAGACTGCCCAGTGCCGCTCACATCAAAAAGCCCAAGAGAACCTTTTGTATCTTCTCATTCCAGCCCTTACACCACCCCACCCAACACACACACCTTTTATTTCTGGCTACTGAGGGATTACCCATCACCGAGTATTCAGTGATGGACTGAGTACTGAGCGTAAGTGTAAATAAACTTTGTCTTTTCTCTCCTGACTTGGTCTGTGGCTGATTAATACGCAGGTCCTCAGCCACTGGACCCACGTTGGAAGGGGAAAAATTTTCCTCCCAAATCTTCTTATCTTTCAAGTTCAGAGCAGACCAATCCTTTACTATTCCAAAAGAAACAACAGAAAACGTATCAACACAGTCGAAGAATGCCATGAAACGGAATTTCCAGTATGCAAAAATTCAATTTTATATGTGAGTCAGTAGGTGGCAGCAAAGAAGAAAGAAGCGTATCTTGATAAACAGAACTGTTCCGTGTCCCAGAAATCTAATAAAAGCCACTCCTTTAGAGGGTCTGTGCTCTATTTTATCCTGAAATGTCTTATTCAGACTGAAAAACTCTTCAATATCTCACTGAAAGCAACCCCAAAAATCACAAATAAAATTCAGAAAATACCTTGAAAAAATTTCATATATTCCTGCCAAAAACTGGTTGTGGACATCCACCTTGCTAGGTTGGATACAAATTATATTGGTTTCAAAAAATATGGGGTCTTAGTAGCCAAAAATCTGGAGCCTATAATCCACGGAGGCAGAAGCAAAGGGATGAGCTCAGAGAAACTCGTCCTCAGAGTCAGAGGAAAAAGGAGCATTTTGGCACTTCGTAGTAAGCCTTTTTTGGCATTCCAAATGGGAGGGCGGGGATTTCTACCATTGATCTCTAGAAATAGATGTGAAACCACAGAAGTTGCTCCTAGCCAAATGTTAGCCTTTCCACAAACAGTAGACCAGAAAAGGACCGAGCTCTAGCAATCTCAGGGAGAAACTTTTCTTTTTCCCCATTACTTAATTAAAATACATGTTCAGCAATGTCAGAAAGAATCCTCCCTTAAATTCTTAAAGATACTTCACACATTCATCTTGCCATTCTTCCCCATCCCAAACCAACATCAGAGCAGCCCATCGCCTAAAATGTAGTCGCTCAACCAACCTAGTTCAGCTGTATTAACTAAAATAAGGAGAGACGCTCCCTCTTCTACAGACACTGATAACATGCTAATGACTAAGGGCAGAGATTCTCCCAATGCCTCTCCAACAAGGTCCGAGTTGTGGGCCTCCACTTACCCTGGCGAATTCCATTGGTTTGGGAAGAAGGCACATGACCATGACATCAAAGCGAACATCACATACTGTCTTCAACCACTTGGTGACAAACTGAGGCTTCAGTTTTTCCACCAAACTCCCAACTTCATCATCCATCATATAGGCTGTGGAGTGAAACCACTGAAACACCATGGCCACCAGCCTGGCCAAGCTTTCCGTAGGTGTGTTCTCACTGGGTGTACAGAGGCTCACCTGCAAATGGGCAGATTAGACTCTGCTTCAGCCTCTATCCATCTCTACATAATTATTACACATTCGTTTAAAAGCCAAAAAAAAAAAAATTTTCAGTAATCCATTTGAAATAAGCAGTTTTATAAATGACGGAGAATTGGTTAATGTAGAAACTGTGTTCCTTGCCGAAAAGATGGATTGCAACAGTAATTTCCCCTGGAGACTGCACCTTTCAATAAGGCTTTTTCCCTATAAGAAATCTATTTTGTAATCTACACTAGATAAATGCTTTTTAAAAAGTTAAGTTTGCAAAGTGAAATTTCATAAATACCTTCAGTGAAAAAATAATCTACCTACATTTCCATTCTGAAAGTATCATATTCCGCTAAGGACTTTCTATCTGTAATAATTCTGAAAGCTTAGAGCCCCCTAATTGACCACATTATAAATAGGCTTTTAAAAACAGCTCATCATTTATTCACTATTCATTCTGTAATAATCTTTTATTAAGCACTCTAGTAGGGGTCAGGAATATACAGAATAAAGAAAATGCTACCCTTGCCTTCCAAGAGTTCACAATAGCAATCATTGTATCATTAGATAATAAGTTCTAGGAGCAAAACATGTGAAATTAACAATTAAATACCAATTTGGTAAGACAAAACAAAACATGACTTTTTCAGATAACCATGTGAAAGCATAAAAGAGATGTATTCCAATGGAGACTTAATCTGTCTCCAATGGGCAAAAACAAAAGCCTGCTTCTCTACATAACTGGCAAGTTCAGCTTGTGCAGAATTTGGAAACAGAATGTTTGATCTTTACTGAATGAATGTTGCCAGTGAATCAGTCAAAAACAGTCAACTTCCTTGTGTTAATATGGCTCTACTTTTTCTGGCTAGATGCAGACTTGCCATAATTATACAAAAAGTACCACAGAGACTGAACTTTCAGGAAAAATGTCATGTATATAAATGGGATGTGAATGATCTGTAAATTATATTGACTCCAAGGTTTCACAACATACCCTAGCAATTTTCCCATTCGTTACCTGTCAAAGGTGCATTTCAAACAGCCCAGGGTCTGGCCAATAGGCTTGATACTGGCTATTCATTAGAATCAACTGGGGAGCTTTTTAAAAAGTTCCCAAGATTCTGGGGTGGGATCTGGGTATTCTTTAAAAGCCTTCCTGGGGAAATCTACTAGGCAGCCCCGGGTTGACAGTCACTATCCTGGAACGCAGAGTAGCACTGCTACGATTAATTTTTCACTAATTACTATTTGCCTCTTTAAAAAGAAGGAAATGTTCCTCATCGGTGCAATGCGGTCGTGAGAAATAAGAAAGCGGGGAATTATTTTCTTACCAAAAACCATATTCCAAATTGACTGAGTAGGCGCTGGTCGTGTTTGTCATCGTCCTTGTTGTCAAAGTCAGTGTTGTCCAGGGAGTGGCGGGAAGACGAAAGGCCCAGCTGCCTCCGGCGGTTCAGCTCACACTCCCGCTGCTCTGCGTGAAACTCGGCCTCTTTCAACAAGCTGCCAAAGACGAGCAGCGTCCGGTCAGGCCGCCGAAACGCACACCGCAGGCGGTGACCCATTCAGAGGTCCTGCTTCATGAGTACTCCCTCAAGCCTGCCTCATCGCTCTCCTTTCAACTGGCAGGAGTTACGCCCCCAGGCCTAACTTCCGGCCCTTCCTTGTACTCCATCCCCATCTCAAAAATGAACAGACTGGGGCAAAGAGGCTGCTTCCTCCTGTCAGTTAGAATCAAGCAGGACTGATGCGCTCTGGCTTCCAGGCCACCGCCCACCCCACTAGACATCAGTACTTCCCCTGTGTCTAATCTGAAGTTCGGTGGACATAGATGCATGGTCCAAGGAGGGACTGAGGAGTCTATACCCAAATCGAAAAATATTCAATACCTAATATTCAAAGATTTGAAAATGAGCAACAAATCTGCTAAACAAGTCATAATTTTAAAAAATGAAACCCAGGGTGGCCTGCATGGCTCAGTGGGTTAAAGCCTCTGCCTTTGGCTCGGGTCATGATCCCAGGGTCCTGGGATGGAGTCCCAAACCGGGCTTTCTGCTCAGCAGGGAGCCTGCTTCCCCCTCTCTCTCTGCCTGCCTCTCTGCCTACTTGTGATCTGTCTCTCTGTCAAATAAATAAATAAAATCTTTAAAAAATAAAACCTAGTGGGGACACCTGGGTGGCTCAATAGGTGAAGCATCTGACTTCCACTCAGGTGGTGATCTCAGGGGTCCTGGGATAGAGCTCTGTGTTAGGTTCCCCACTCAGCAAGGAATCTGCTTGTCCCTCTGCCCCTCCCCTGCTTGTATACACACTCCCAAATAAATCAATAAAATCTTTTTTAAAAAAGAAAAATTTTAAAAACCCAGTGTTGGCAAGGATGTAGCAAAAACTAGCCATTTCATACAGTGCTGTTGGTATTATAAATTCATATACACACTCTGAAAATCAGTTTGAGAATGTATCAGTAGCCATGAAATTATTCATACCCTTTGACCCAGCCAACCATATCTGTCATCTACCCTAAGAAAATTAAAAATACAGAAACAGCACTGTTCACAAAAATATTTATCAAGAGCAATTTGTAATAATAAAGAATGGAAGCAAGCTAGAAATCTAAGGGTGGGGGAAAATAATCTAGATGAAAATTTTGTTGCCACTAAAAATGGTAAACATGGAAACTGTATGATGACATGCAAAAGAGCTCATGGTATAACGTTACACACCAAAAAGAATTGCAGATACACTGTGATTACAGTCACATAAATAAGGAGTGTATTTTAATACAACCAGAAGAACATGTGCAAAACTGACCATGATGATAGCAGTATGGGTGACTATTTTTTTTTTCGCTTTCTAAACTTTCTGTAATGTTCCATGTGACAAACATTTATTGCATCTCTACACCTGTCAGCCACTGGAGTAAGAGACACAGAAGAGTCCCTACTCCTACAACTGACATTCTAATATTATTTCTTTAATTTTTTTTTAAGATTTTATTTATTTATTTGACAGGCAGAGATCACAAGCAGGCAGAGCAGCAGGCAGAGAGAGAGGGGGAAGCAGGCTCCCTGCTGAGCAGAGAGCCCAACGGGGGACTCGATCCCAGCACCATGGGATCATGACCCAAGCCGAAGGCAGTGGCTTTAACCCACTGAGCCACCCAGGCGCCCCATTTCTTTAATTTTTTTTTTTTAATCTTGCCTCGATGAATGTTATACAAAAAGAGAACGAGTCTGGAAATTATCATTTCCAAAGCTCCTTTTACTGTCACGTGATAGGACGGAAAGCCCGAAGCCTGCAGAACCGGACCCTGCAGTCTTGGCAGAGCCTGCGGGTTTACCCCGGTACCAAATTACCTCGAGTTCTCCCGCACTTCACTGTGCACGCTGGGGGGTACCCCTCTTCCCACCCCTCGCTCTTCATTTCCCCCGAGACCCTCAGCTCTCTCCCACAGGACTTCCCACAGTGGATGGCAACTGCGTGCTTCGGTTGTTATAGTCCCTCCAAGAGTAACCTGAAGGCACAGACACCATCGTATTCTCTCCTGTCTCTCAAGCGCCTAACACATGCCTGGTACCATCGATAAAATAAATATGGGATGAATGCATGAAAATATCGTCACTGCATGATGGCAGGTGAGAGGCTGGGCTGGGAGCCCCTGAAGATGAATTAACTTTACACATCTCGGGGCGCGCAGGGTGGCTCAAAGCCAAGGTGGTGTTTGGGGCGGGCCCGAAACCCGCTGCCGGTTACCTGATCACCGCCTCCACCGCGCAGACCAGCTCCTCTGCGCCGCATTCCCGAGTGTTGATGGGCGGAGGGGAGGTCTGATACAGATGCGTCTCCGAGGCAGCCCCCACCTCATTGCTGTGATGATTCGAGTGGCATCTTTTGCAGTACCGAACAGGCCGGTTTCCGTGACGGCCACAGCACCCCGCTGAAAAGCAGGTGACCACCGCTCTTCTTACATGAGAACTGCAGTTCTAGAGGGGGGAAAAAAAAAATCAATCAATCAATCAATTAGCCAACACTGATCAATGAGGTAAAGATGGCAAATGGAAAGCTAAGGGGGCACCGGAAGTGGCCGCACATTTCTAAACTTTCTACAAGACAGGTTGTCTTTAACTATCCCAGGCATAGTTAAAAATAAAGGTAAGAAGTGGATTCTACAAGCCGAGTGGCAGGAACATCCTAAATGTGAGTGGAACTGTGTTGGGAAGCCCTCTGTAAAGTTAACTCAGTCATGGGGTGGGGGTGGGGTTCTTTCTGGATTATTTCAAGTTAGTGTTTCAAGAGTTTTCAGCAGAAATAGGGAGGAAAAGCCCCTGAAACTGTGACCCAGAGAGAGTGCATCATAGCACATCAGAACAGGAAATGAATAGTTTTAACCCCTAGATTAAACCTTCAACATTATTTTATCCACCCCTGGCAGAGCAGATTTCCACCACAGCTCCTTGGTCCTTGCTATGTGACAGGTAGGGAGCCTGGGTTGCATGAGCTGATGGCCCCAAGCGGGCCGCCCACTCCCACCAGCGCTCTTTCCCTCAAGACCTAAAGAATATGACAAACAGCTCGACTGACACCACGGGAACATAGCAAAACACAGAGAGAACCATTCACAGAATCAGAGGCTGACATCAGCTACAGGCAAGGAATCCGCAGAGGAAAGGATGCCAATGAGAAAAGTAGGGGTGCAGAGAGAATCCGGAGTCCAGAAGGGCTACTCAGAGCTGCCCTGACAAAAGGCAGAGCAGAGAGGCACCATCATGAAGCCATCTGAGGAGCTGTCAGGGAAAATTCCTGACCTCCACAGAAATGTGTGTCCTGAGCTTGTCAGAGATGCCACACCACATACTCAACGTCTTGTGTCCCGAGAGCTTTTCAGTCTTTCAGTGGAGCTTATAAATATGTGAACAGCTCTAGGGGATGTCATACCCTAGGCCATTATGAACGCAGAGCTTGGTGAAGATTTGAGAGCCTCCCCCTCCCATGACAGATCTTTTGAGGAGACAGAAGAAGGAAGGAGGCACAAAGCCTACATCAACCACTGACACCTATTGAACTGGCTATCGGAATGACCATTTCAAAGGAAGGTTTCTTCCACTTCGATTTTAGCATGAGGCCCTGGGTCCTAGTGCTGAGAAATCGCACCTTCTGAATAGGACACAGGCCAATGAATCATAAAAGCAAGTTTAAATTTTCTGTAATTTTTTTTCCTTATTAATAAAGTTTTTTTTAATTATTTGTTAAAGTACAGTATGTTTCTTCTGCAACTGAGGCCCAAGTCTTGTGAGCATCAGGTCAGTCCTGACTTCACGATGTGGTGTATTTTCCCTGCTGTGTCCTTTCTTTCTTTTTCATACACTAACTTTTATTCTGGAAGCACATGAATCCTTATTGGTTTGGGGCTTCTGCTCCCCACCAATCCAATACCACACACCTAGCCGTGTGGTATATGGCAGAGTATATTCTTAGTGTTTAATTTCTTCCTCTAGGTTATACTTCCTTGTTCCTCTAGGATTCCCACTATTCCATAAACAATAGGATGAGGATATGGGTTTAGTGGGAAATTATTCACTATAATAAAGTCCTGAAGTTTAAGGCCTGCAGTTTACCCTCATATTTTCTGGTTGCAAATTATTTACATTCTTCCCACATGCAAATTCTTGGCTGGAGGTTCAAGGTCTTGTCATCTAAATCAAGTCCAGCTGTGGATGAGGCTCTTTGGATTGGCTTCCTTGGGTATGTGCCCATTTGTCTGGAATCTAAATGGGCTGCTTCAACCAATAAAGTATGGTAGAAGTGATGTCTATATGACTTCTGAGGTCAGATTTCCAAAAGACATACAGCTTTCACTGGCCATCTTGAAATGTTCTCTTCTCAGACGGTTCCTCACTGGGATACTCAGAACTCTACCATGGCCAAGCCATGTAAAGAGGCAATGTGTACCTAACTAAGTCTCTTGTCAACAGTGCTGGCTAAGCCCAGCCTTCAAGTCATCCCATCCCAGAGCCCAGACACATGATCTGGAAGCTTCTAGATAATTCCAGCCCCCAATTATTCAAGTCTTCCCAGGTGAGGCCTCAAACATCATCAGCTAGAGACAGGCTATGGACTGTGCCCTGTCCAAATCCCTGGCCAACAGAATCTATGAGCATCATTAAATGGTGGTTGTTTAATACTGCCAGCTTTTGAGTGATTTCTTACACAGTTATCTGGATACGTTGCATATATTAACATCTGGAACATCGATCAAGAGTCGACCTGCTTTATCACCATGTGCCCTCAATTCTAAGTAATATCAGCAATAAAATAAAATAAAATAAAACTTTACCCCAAAATAGCATTTGGTTGGTTCCAGTTCCAAACAATTGTTGTGGTTCCCACTAAGTTTTAGTAATGTATTTCCAAGCCACCATCAGTCTTCAACCCATGTAGACTCTACTATATGCATTCCTTTCAAAAGCCAACTAAAGAGACTTCCCTTAGATTCAGTCCGCTGAGCATGGTTTTCCCCAGGCACTCTGTTTCACTACTTTGAATTTTAAACATGAAAAAAAAAAAAAACCACCTCCAACCTGGCTCATAGAATGACAGAATTGAAATAAATCAAAGTCTGTCTCTTTACCTTTACAATCTTGCTGCTTATTTCAAACCCCCTGTGCAAATGCAGGACTATGTCCTTCAAAAGAGGCCAATACAAACTGTACCCAAAGCAAGCTCAAACAATTCTGAACCGTTATGAATTTAATGAATGTTCTCCAAATATAAAATACAACATGTATTAAAGGATAATAAAAATGTGCTAATTTGAAGCTTATTACTAAAAATAATTTTGCTGTAAAAAGGAGGGCAGTGTTAAGGAAAAAAAAAAAAAAAGGATCCACTCTGGTGTCAAATATGTTAGGTATAACAGCAGACCTGTTCATTTGGAATATAAAACTGTTTCTCATCCCTGTCTCTCTGGCTTATAAAAAGATTCTCAAAGTAGGAAATAGCCTCAGGATAAAAATCAAATCAAAAGTACGCTGACTAGCTGCACGGTCCTTTGTTAAAACTTCAGAAGGATATAAGGCGATGCCTAGTTGAGCCTTTCAGATAGAAAAGGGCTTCTAATAATTTTAGGGCAGACCAAAATGCCCAAAGTATATAAAGGACTGTCCCCAAGAGAATTACAGATGTAGTTTGGGGGCACTGAACTCCAATGAGATTTACTGAAAACCAAGAGTTTTACAGTAAGTCTTCCTAGCAAAAGGGTCACCAACTTAGACTAAAGGGAACAGACATCATTCAACATGAAAGGAAGTCTGTGGATACATGCAGGGGACAAGCTAAGAGAGTCCCCTAGCTGCAACATGCACCATTCTTCTTGGAAAAGAAAGATGTCTCAGAGAATAGAGCAAACAATTCAGGAAAACAACAATGAGGAAACTACTCCCAGGAAGTAGAACCAGATCCTCGTTAAGGTACATCCTCCAGCCTTGGAGAACCAATGGAAGAACCACTGACATATTCATGGCTGGAAGAGCTATCACCAGCAGATATCGATGTGCTTCCCATTATTCCTCTGAACGGAGGCCCACAGCTGTCATCCTCTCCCTATCTCACCACTGTGTGTAGGGTGGGGGACGGGGGTGGGGGTGGGGATAACTTGCCTTTTTAGTTCACACGTCTCTGGAGCAAGAGAATTTTCACCCAAGGAGTTTCATCAGGGACCAGACCATATGCAGATCACAAGATGATGGACTGAAGCCATAAATGGATTTAAGACTTTTGGAGGTCTGAGGTGGTGGAAGAATTGTACATGTGGAAGCAATGCAAGTAATTATGTCCAGAGGGTGGATTGTGGTAGCATAAATGTGACCACAGAATTCTCATCACTCCTTCTATAAAGGGGAGAAGTCTATTTTCCTCTCCTTAAATCTAGGCTGGCCTGGGGACTTGCTTTGGCCGGTGGAAGGCAGCAGAAGTAATGCTACATGACTCTGAAATTTGTCTCAAAAGGCCTTTGCAATTCAGTAAATCTCATTCACTTCGAACACTGCCGCCTAGCAAACAAATCCAGCCTCGTTCCCTGCAGGATGAGACACATAATGGCAAGAGGGAGAGCCAGACACCCCTGTCATCCCAGCCATTCCAGCTGCTCCAGCTGTGGCCCCAGATATGGGAATGAAGTCATCGGGGACCAGTCAATCCCTAGACTACCAAGCAGCTGACTGCAGGCTCACTGTGAGCCTAGAGGAGTTTATCAAAAGCACAGCCTAGTTGAGCACAGGCCAAATTGTCAATTCACAGAATTAGCAACAAATACCTATTGTTACTAAGCCACAACATGTTAGGATTAGTATGTGCAACAGCCCTGAAATAGCCCTTTAAAGGTCCCCACTCATGACCAAGTCCTAAAATGTTTAAATGACTTGTATATAGTCTCATAGGTAGGTAGGGACAGAGTCGGCCAGAAACCAAGTGTTTCAACCAACTAATCCAAAGTCCTCTGTACAACACTACACTACCTTGCCTTATACGTTCAATGAGAAAAAGAAAGAGGATGGAAATGGCTTAGGGAAACTTTCATGAAAAGTGGCTAAAAAAAATTTGAAAGTGGAATCTTTAACTAGAGATGCCATTCAGCTTACATACAAATAAATATTTTCTATCTATTGTCAGCCTGGGTATGTTCGACACACATGTATCGGACTATCGGCACGCCACTTCAAAACAAGAAAGATTTTGAGCATACACGATATATCCTTTACCAAACTTATGTTGCATGTTCTACATGGTCATTCAAAGCTTTTTGTGATTAGAGTTACACGTATGCTTTCGTTTCAGATTACTCCTCAAAAACACTGTGCAGAAGATGGGTGAGCAAAAGCAGAAATGAAAACAGAGAGCATTCAGACATAGCAATCTTGCATGCTACATCATTTCTTTTCCCCCTTCGCGAATACAGTGACATGTACGTACTGGGAAACCAGGGGGTAGAAATGAGGCAGATGTCAATGAATGAATTTACATACACACAGCAAATCATGCCCCACCACACGGATGGTTTGCTCTTACCTTCTTCTGACATATAGCAGATATTTCAGCTGTAAGGGGAAGGTACACAACATATCAACAAAGAAAGACAGCCCATTTTAAATAAGGGCAGCCACACAGGGGAGTAAAAACAAGCTTAGTGACACAACCTCTAGACTTGGCCCAAATAGCTTCTCTCCTGTCTTATTAATGGTCATCTACCCGTGTTTGATGAGGTCAGGAACACCTGTGTGCTCAAATACTTCCCCTACTTTTACAAGTAGTTCAACCTCCTTGGACGTGACTCGGAATTCAGACCATGTCAAAACCAAAGCAACGTAACATTCATCTCATCTCCTTGTTTGACAGAACAAAATTGAGAATTGCATGACATCCTTTTTTTTTTAAGATTTTATTGGTTTTATTTATTTGCCAGAGAGAGAGAGAGAAGGAAAGCTGCAGGCGGAAGGAGAAGCAGGCTGCCCACTGAGCAAGGAGCCTGATGAGGGACTCAATCCCAGCACCCTGGGATCATGACCTGAGCCGAAGGCAGATGCTTAACCAACTGAGCCTCCCAGGCACCCCTTGGCACGGCTTCTTCAGGATCACACAGGCTATCAATGATAAAGGCAGATTTCGAGACAACGCCTCTGGATTCCCGGTTTATTGCTCTTCCGTTATACCATGACATTGACTTGATGTGATATATTTAGAGCTTCACCATGGAGATGATTTGCTATTTCAAAACTGTAGAAAAAACTCACTAACTTGGATTACTCAGACTTGAACTATTGATTTATATCAGTCCTTAACTAGTGTAAAATCAGCTGCATGTCATTTTAGAGCAAGCAATTTTCAAACCCAACTGGCCAGTTGGAGTTAGGCTGTCAAACCACGGTCTACTCCGGGATTGACTTTAACAAACGGATACAAACTCTTTGTAGTGGGTATACCAAGTATTTCCATGAAAACTAATGCTCGAGAATACTTGAAAATAATTTTTCCAAATATATGTTAACATTCCCCTGAAATAGTAAGTGTTCAAAAAATGAACTCACGCATTACTTACAGTATAGTCTATGTTACTATTTATTAAAAAGATCAAAGGTAAATGTCCCCCAGACTGTCGGGAAATTATGAATTGGTGGGTGCCAAATCATAGAAACTTACAACTCAGTTTTTAAAATTGGTTTTGTATAATTAATGGTCATTTAACAGTTTGAGATCTTAGAGTTTATCTTAACCTAAGATCAGTGTCACATCTCTAGATAAATAATTGTTAAGTTATTATAAGTTTGCTTCCAGAGATGAATATCATCTGGAAAAGGTGACCAGAATTCACCAACATTTCTGATTTAAAAATGTAGTTTAGAACCTGACTAGGGGCTTTACCTCAGAACACTGTAAGTTCATTAACAGGGTGGTCTAATTTAAGGGGGGAAAATTGACTTTTACCCATACAAGCCCAGATCTTTTTACAGATATTCTTATGAAATTTTTCAGAATGTGTCTTTGAAGGATCTAGAGGTGACATTACTGATTCATTTTATAGATGTAAAGCACTCACTAAGGTAATTTATTTCTTAAGGGTGACATGACCTAATATTAAAAGTTAGACCATAGGGGGTACCTCGGAAGCTCAGCTGGTTAAGCATCTGCCTTCAGCTCAGGTCATGATCTCAGAGTCCTGGGATCCAGCCCTGCATCAGGCTCCCTGCTCTGTGGGGAGTCTGTTTCTCCTCCTCCCTCTGCCCCTCTTCCCTGCTCATGTGCTCTCTCTCTCTCTCTCTCTCTCTCTCTCAAATAAATAAATAAATGAAATCCTTTTTTAAAAAATGAGGACTACCAAGAAATAGTGTAATTATCATCAAGAAAATCACTTTACTTTTTTTTGAATGTTCACAGAATTTAGTTAACATAAGGTTTTTACATTTCTTTTTAAATATGGCCTTTCAGAGAAAGTCTTTTATTATCTACCTCTGAAGTCCTCCTGTGTGCCTGATGTGTGCTCAGTATATCCCCAGCTTCTCTCACCTTCCATCTTTCCTCTGCTGTCATTAATACTTCCCCTGGTCACTTCAGCCTCCAATTAAGCAGCTGGAATACCTGCTTCCAGACGTGTAAAGGAATGCTCTATCTGGGACCTGCCGACTTATCAGACATGGCCTTCAGAACTTTAACAAACTACGAGCACTACCCCATCCCATCTTTCATTGAGGTGAGTCACATATACTTTATCCCCACTTTACTGGGGAGACTGAGTCTCTGAACAATTAAATGATTTTCCCTAAAAACGCAGAACTATTACTAGTGGTAGGAGAAAGACTTATTCAGTGTTCTTCCCACTTATGTTCCCTATTCTCTTTCTGACCTGGCACAGCAAACACCATTGGCAATGCCTGTTATATACACAGAAAATCTCCCAAGACATAATTCAGCAAGGCTTCTGTCATATGGAATCCTAACTCCAACATCTACTCTTAATTTTGGTTGAGATGATACCTCTTCTTTCCAAATGTGTGGGTATAAGCAAGACACTGATATAATGCTTCATTACAATGACAATTCATAGAATATAATACTTTGGTTACTGTCTTTATAAAATAATACAGTACAAAAGGAAAGAAACCAACCATGCCATTAGTCATGATTACTTATTATTCATCCTTTCTGAAGTAAACCATACCTTGTGGCAGAAGAACATCAATCAACCATTCACTGTGGTCCCTATAAAGAAAAACAAAATTCATTTTTTGAGCTTCTTTGCAATGTTACCCATCCACGTGAATGTTTATAAGCTGTACACTATTGCTAGAAGGTTTTCAATAGAAAGGAAATGTAATTAAGAGCACTATCATAATAAACTTTTTGAATGTCTAATGCATTTTAGCTAAATTATAAATTATAGGCATTTCATCATATTCGGTTATCTTTAAATGATACTTTCCAGATGCTAATTAAGCGAACCAAAGTACAGCATGACTTGTGCAATGCTCAGTGTGGTTCTGTGAAACTAACAAGCAGAGAGAATCCATTTGAATTATACCTCATATTTGAAAGCCATGGTCTTCTTTTATTTTTCTCTGTGGCCTTTTTTAACAGGGTCGCTTGAAATTTGGAGCTGTTTTATTCCATGGAATTGCTTTTTCTTATCCCATGGAGAGAAATATTGCAACTTTTCAAAGCTGAAATCTCTCTAATTAAAGTTTGCTGTTTGTCAGATATCTGACAAAGCAACCTTTCAAAAACAAAAAGGCTAGTGGGAAATGCGAGTGATGGGACCAATTTAAGTCCGACTGATTGTTCTTATCTTCTTTTGTTGCCCTATTTCCTTTTCTTGGAGGACCCATATACCTACCCTGCAATCCTCTGGCTGCATTCTTCACAGAGATACAATGGGGGTGGTTTATCCCCCAGAGCTACGGACAGGGAAGGGTCTATACACATCTGAAACACATGAAAAAGCAGAATGAACTCTCTTATCATGTTTATCACATCCCCCATATCATGAGCACAAATGTTTTGATTGTGACAGATTTTCAAAAGCAATGTGGAATAAATATTTTTAGTAAAACCCACTTAACCTATAGCACAGCTGTTTTTCCTGCCCTGGCTGATGAGTCCACACTGGACATTTAAATGTGCCTACTCTGGTTTTTCATTTCTCCTGTTATCTGCAATTGAGTAACATGATAGTGTCAACAAATCTACCCTCATTCCACAAAGAGAAAAAATCTTGTTCAATGGTGGTTCGAATTGCCTCTATATACCTCGTACATTCATTCCTGCTTGAAAGTGGTAGTAAACACAGCAATCTCTCTTTAGGAAGAGGAAAATATTTTAAAATTTTAAAAATCATAACTGTAACCAAAATTCTGGCAGTAGAAGATTTTGCTTCTTAAAAGAAACCTCAATTCAAAAAATGCCATGTGAAATCTAACACTCAGCAATTCACTTTTTTTATTCTGGAATCTAAATTCTTTTTTTTTTTTTTTAAGATTTTATTTATTTATTTGACAGACAGAGATCACAAGTAGTCAGAGAGGCAGGCAGAGAGAGATGAGAGACGAGGAAGCAGGCTCCCTGCTGAGCAGAGAGCCCAATGCAGGACTCAATCCCAGGACCCTGGGATCATGACCTGAGCCGAAGGCAGAGGCTCTAACCCACTGAGCCACCCAGGTGCCCCTGAAATCTAAATTCTAAATCAATCATCCAAGGTCACATTTTCAGGTATTTTTTTTTCCTTCCATACATGACCTGTGGTTCATTTAACACTGTATGCCCTGTTCACTTTTGAATTATTTATGGCTGAGTTTTCATGAGCTGAAGCACAGAGATGAAAAGTGTTCACTTTGCTGTTGGTCATTGGGATATTTCAAATATCTGGATGTTTAAAATCAAGGAAACACGACTAGCTGAATCTTGCATGTTGCATCAGGTTAAATTTCTATACACTAACAAAGTCATTCTGTTTTCTGTTCCTGTCCAGCAAGAAATAATCAATCCAATGCTCTAGCTGATTATGCACTTAATATGCCTAGGACACAGATTTTTCTGGAACTCCACTCTTCCTTTTCTTTAGTTGTTTTTACTGATTAGGGAGGAAAAACGAACCAACTTATAACTCAACCAGCCTATCATTTAAAGTTAAAACCCTGAAAAGTTTCACATGTCATCCTTCCACAGAGCCCTGTGGATCTTTTCTAGATCATTCCAATTTTAGTATATGTGCTGCTGAAGTGAGCACAATACTGAAGAGTTTCAATGATGGGGGAAACAAGAGCTGGAATTCCTAAATTTCAATCGTTATACCAACAAAACCTGTAAACTATATATTCCCTCATGCTAAAGACCTAGTATGAAAATTTTCCTTAGATAAATTTCATGCTTCCTTTGATGTGATGAATAACTACTTTTTGGTGTGTTAAATGAGGGACTAGCAAACTTTCTGTAAATGACCAGAGTGAATAGTTCAGGCTTTGTGGACATACGCTCTCTGACACAACTACTCAACTCTGCTGTTGTAGCATGAAAGCAGACATAGATACAGAAGCAAATGAGCACAGCTGTGTTCCAATAAAACTTTATTGACAAAACAGTCAGCAGGCCAGATTTGGCTGGGGGCCATAGTTAGCTGACTCCTGTGTTAGAGAATTATCTGGGCTCTAATGTATTTCATAAATTGATCTGCAAACAGAACCAAGTAAAACCAAAAGCAGAGTGTTATATAATGAAATCTAAGTTCCAGCATCTTTTCATTTTGAATTCTGTTGCAGCTCTTGGCTATTGCCTTAAAAAGTACATTTTTTGCAGTGTATTGCAACAAAAATAGATAATACTTTTCTATTTGGCAAATCATCACTGCCTAGTTCATAAATATGGAGATGGTAGACTTTTTGTGAGGATAAATCCATTTTCCCTGAATTTTTCCCAAGTGCCTGATGTAGACCTGTTCTTCCATTAGTTACTTCACTTTCATTTCTAATGAGTTATTGATACTCCTGTCAGGTAAAGATATTTTTTCATTTGACTCAAAGGGATAAACTCCTACGAGGTTGGAACTATAATCATTACAGATTAGCTAGGTGACCTCTAACATGGTAAATGAATTAGGTCACATGACCCATCACATTTGTGGACGGTAGGGTCAATTCCATTTACTCTAAACATGTCAGTTTATATCTATATTAATATGTTCATATCTGACCGTTACATTAAAAAATAGTTATTTTCCATTTATAAACACAATTATGCCCGATGTAGAGGCTTAGGAAAATGGAGAAAAGAAGAAAATTTAAATAACTCATTAACCCTCCATCTCAACGCAACCAGTAATAACATTCTGATGAGCAGGAATATGAGTATAAATATATATATATGTGATTTTAAATTGGCATCTTACTATAAAGGATGACTTCCTTTTCATTGAACATTATTCTGTAAGCATCTGGATATTGGGTACCCTTGACCCGTATGTCACATGGTCATACCTACCTGGGTTTGGGGAATGCTCGTATTGCAATGAAAAAACAATACAGAGCCAGATCTATTGTCCTGCAAAAACAGCCCCAGCACAGGAAGCATTAACAAGAATGTTACCTTTACAGGGAAGCAGAGTAAAAATACAAAAGAAAACTCTTTAGGAATGCTGGAGTTCAGAAAATAAAATTTGGAGCGGGTGCTGATAAAAATATTTAGGAACTAGATAGAGGTGGTGGTGGCACAGCATTATGAATGTGCTAAATGTCATTGAATCGTTCACTTTAAAATGGTTAAGTTGATGTGAATTTCACCTCACCTAAAAATGGAAGAGAAAGTGGGATGGTTTGGCATGTCCTGCAAGACTGGCTACAAGGAATAGCCAGTAAGCAAAGCAAAGGCCAGCCAGAGGGATGGACTAAAGCTGTTTACCGAGAAGAATGGGAGAAAATCTAATTTGTGATGTCTTTGGGGAGTGGGAAACCAAAAATCATTAGTAATTATGAAGTCAAAGGACTCCTGAGAATGTAATCTGACATAAGATCAAAGAAAAAAATAAGTGGAAAGACCAGACTTTCTGTTGGTGTCTGAGTGAACCAAAAGAGGGCATTGTAACATAAGCCGGAAGAGGAAAGGACAGGTAAAGAAACTAAAGTAAGAGAGCTGCATGATTCTCACCACTGGAAGAATTAAGCTAAAATCCAGGGATAACATATGAGCACAACACGCGTTTGTCTCAGAATGTCCTTGCACAGAAGAAAAGTACCTTGGAGTCCCAAACATCTGTGGAAGTTCAGAGGAGGTGTGATCACAGCAGAATGGGCGAGACTGAGCCTCTATTGCTGGATTTCCCTTGTTTGCTCTTTCTCGACATAAGTTCATTCAACTTGACTTTATCAAAAGCAGAGATGAAACATAATAATACAAGAAGGTCCTCTGCTAGTAAGATACGTCTGGATGACTATGTTATTATTGGCACTCCTCTGACTTTTCTGATATATGAAACACATTTTGGTCCATTTGTACTTCTTTTTTGGTTCCAGTTATATTTATATTTCTTATATCTCATGTTACCTCTTCCACTCTGTTTCTATAAAATTATACTATCATGTTTCTATTATTTGGTAATCTTCACAATCTTCCTGTTTATAGAAGAAGGGAGGCAAACTCTCAGGACACTAGGTTCTAATAGGTATCTGTGAACTCTAACGACTTGATGTTACTCCTACTCTTCTTATTATAAAAAATTAATCCTTGCAAATCCAGACACAGGTCTCTCCAGCCAAGTACTGAACCAACAGATATGCCATAAGTAATTTTGTTAAAAGGTGTGATTGTTTTTCTTAACATTCGACTTCAAAGATTCAGGGTTATAACAAGACAGGGAAATTTGTGGTGGTAGAACAAGAATAAGGTTTAGAGTGAAGGTACCTGGTTCTGGCTTAGGAAAGTGTCTTGCCTCTCTAAACCCCTGTTCCCTTGGGACACCTGAGTGGCTCAGTGGGTTAAAGCTTCTGCCTTTGGCTCAGGTCATGATCCCAGGGTCCTGAGATTGAGCCCTGTATCGGGCTCTCTGCCTGCCTCTCTGCCTACTTGTGATCTCTGTCTGCCAAATAAATAAAAATTTAAAAATCTAAAAAATAAAAATTTAAAATTTAAAAATTTAAAAAAAATAAACGCCTGTTCCCTTACCTCTAACATACTTTTTCCATGTGTTTGCTCCCCAACTACCCCTAAGTCGTATCTATGATCTGAGCCAAAATTTAACAATTTTATTCATTTTGGTCATATGACCCTTGAATTCGCAGTTATATACCAAACTCTCATAATCTGAAATGAGTGAAACAGGGGCAAAGTATATTTCCTTGAGTTTATTAAAAAAGAGAGAAGCCAAGTGGGACTATGTAAGAGTTCCACCAGGATTATTCTAATAATTACTCATTGCTACACACCACTTGACCAAGAAGTCATAGCCAAACCCTTCAGTCACCACTATTCATTGCTCTGTCTTCAACCAATCCACCAAAGCACAGTCAGATTGAACACAGAAGTGCTTGAGTTTACCACAGAGCGCAAGCCTCTCTGCTTTATGGAGAAGGATGCAGTCTATTCCATGTCATTCAGCTCCTGATAATCTGACCACTGACAATACAATATGGCACCATATTTATCTAATAAAACAGTACCTTCACAGCTGGCTTGTTAATTGCGTTGTGGCATTCAATGTGCTGGCAGTGGATGGGATTCCAAGCTGTAAAGCAAAGCATAGCTGATGAACTCTCCTCATTGAAGTTATTAGAGCCCTAATAAAAGCATAGCAGATATTACACTAGGTTTCTTCTTCCTAAGCAGAACCATCATCATAAGGCTTCCTAAGATAATCATTTTTAAATCTAAGACAAATTTAAAAATTGAGCAAAGATATCATAACTCCATTTATTTTTCCATAGAAGAGACAAGCTCATATAAGGTATAAGGTAGTATAACAGTGCCATTATATTACTTCCCAATGATATACTACTAAAAGTAAGTTCTCCAAGGTTTGTACATATCTATGGTTTCACTTCATTCTGCCAGCAGCCTGGTGGAATAGGTATAGCAGATTATAAATCTCATTTCCTGTATTAGTAAGTGGAAGTTACAAAGTTTAAGTAGCCCACTGGGGTCACAGAGTTAATAAATGACAACTTGAGACTAAAACCTCTATCTCTTGGTTCTTAACACTGATCTTTCCATTGTAGCACATATTAAGCTGAGCATCCTAGATTTCTAGCTCCAGGAAGTATTTCAAACTCATAATAACTGAAATGAATGGTAAGGCAACCTCGACTATCCCATGTTCCACCCCATTCTCACCAAATGTAGAGAATGGAAAATGAATTTCTTGCCCAAATGAAATATATATATATATATATCTCTTTCTCATACCACAGACTGTGACCCACATTAACCTCTGCTAATTTGCTAATACCCACTCCTTAACACAGTATCACACAGAATGAAGATAAGACCAAGTGATCTGGGATAGATCAGAATGAACGTCACAACAAGTAATTATCTTTATCTAGATTATTTGGTAGTTCAAAGCACTTAGCTAACAATACTCTATCATTTAAAAATGCAATAAAGGGGTGCCTGGGTGCCTCAGTCAGTTAAGTGGCTGCCTTTGGCTCAGGTCATGATCCCAGGGTCCTGGGATGAAGCCCCACATGGGGCTCCCTGCTCAATGGAGAGCCTGCTTCTCCTTCTCCCTCTGCCTGCCACTCTGCCTACTTGTGCTCTCTATCTTTCTGTCAAATAAATCTTTTTAAAAAAATAAATAAAAATTAAAATGCAATCAAATTACATGTTTGAAAGTAGGAAAATTTTCTAAATTGTCAAATTCTAATCTTACAGGAGTATGATTGGCTTAATATACTAGAATTGGCAGATGAGAGGATATTTTTACTTAGTTATATGTCCAATTATAATTCAAAAATATGTATTATTCTTCCAGACCATACAAAATTTTCTGCCAGGGGTGTTCCAACTTCAAATCTTTTAGCCAATGGTTAAACAAGATATGTGTCTGATTTGAAATTTAGGAAAATAAGGTCAACGGACCCACTGACTTGAAAAAATACACAATGGGTCAATTTATTTAAAATAAGACAAGAAATACAGAACAAAAACCACTACTCTAAAAAGCACAGTATCATATTGATTATAATTTTGGGGAGAACAAAAGAATAAATAAATCAGGAAAGAATGGATAAATGAAGAAATAATTTGAATACAGACATTCCATAACCATAAAATGTTTCTTACATATGTGGAAAAGTCAAGATGAATATAGATAGCAGCAACAAGTTTTCTTCTGTAATGAGAGAAACCTTGCAAAAAAGACTGCCTTTAATCAGTATATGAGTTGCAAATACATAGGACATGTGTCTTTTCCTCCAATCCCAAACTCATGACAGATGTCACTAATCCATAAGAGCATTCCTTCCTGCTGAGTCCAGAAGTGGCCTTAAAATCCTTCTCAACACAGAGGTCCACAGAGTTACCACTAGTAAAACAGAGTTGGCACACAAGATAAAATCTGCTAGCCATTACTGAATCCTTGTATTATGAGAATATTTGCAGATCACTTTATAAATATTAAGAAGCCTTGACGCTTATAGATAGGAGTAATAGTCAAGATATGTAACAACTGCTATGGCAAAGGTACAAGGAAATAAGAATGTACAACAGCCACAGCACTTGAACAGGGCTCTAAAGACTCCTGCCTTGCCAGAAATTAATGCTTTACATGTAGATGGTGGGGATATCCAGGAGGTCCTACTCCTCTAATATTTTATTTCATTTTTACAGAGTGTCACTGAGTTAAGAATAGACTGTAGGATACCTCACTTAGTTTACCAAAGTCACACTAAGTTTTAAACTTACCAGAATAGGGATTATTAGTTTTTCTTGGGCATCAAAAATCATTTGTCAAGATTTCAAATATATGATGCCTGAAACTCATGTTAAATCTGCTGAATCAAAATCCTTAAAGGTAGAGAACAGGTAATTTTTAATTGGGAAAACCACTACAATTGATTCTGATATAGGATCAATCTACATATCTTACTGTATGATAAATTCAGTCATGATAGATCTCCCTTCCTTTGACAATAAAAATAAAAAAATATATAATCTAAAAACATGGTAGATAAGAAATCTGCTTCTAACTACAACAAAGTAACTGGTATTGGTCTGGCCCTTCCATCATAAACAATTATAAAACACAAAAATATATACAAAACAACTGTTTTCAGAAATTGGACAATATGTAGTGCAGAACAATGATCCTTGAGAGAAGAGAAACAATAAAGTCAGTCCTACAATCACCCTGGCTTTCTTCCTGGAAGCAATTTCTGGACCTTGGGTATGGAAGGAGAAAGATAAGCACAGTTGGGTGGTTTCATTGAATTGAGGGGACAAAACCTGGAGTATAAAGAAGCAAGGTGACTTATATTTGCTACATAGTATAGCAAAGAAGAGGGAATTATGCTAAGAAAGAGCTCCAGAAATCTGAGTAAGAATCTTTTTAGGTCTTTGGCTTTATAATAAGCAGAACGTGTGTAAGACAAAACTCTATAGGCTACTTAGAGGACAACTATGCAGGATCTGTAAGCAGAATAATTCCTACATCTCATCTGAGAGATATTCAAGTTCCAACCGACCAGAATGAAGGGAACTGAGTGAAAACCTGGAACATTCAATAGAGACTCTAGGAGGTTATACCTTAGCAGTATGGTTAAACTAACATTAGGGAAAAAGTTATTCCAGTCTCCCCCTAACAAAGCATAAGGACAAGCCCTAAAAGGGTCAAGCTGATCCACCAGTAACTTGAGAGCCAAAACAAACCTCAAAACACTATAAAGGAAGAAAACAAAATCCAGATACTCAATAACATAATACTCATAAAGTCCAACATCCAGTAAAAATTATTCAATATTTGAAAAAGAAAGAAAATGTTACCCATAATCAGGGGGAAAAAACTGATCAATAGAAATAAACCCAGAAATTATAGAAGATGAGGTAGTTAGCAAACAAGAACTTAAAAACAGCTATTATAAACACATTCAAAGGAAAATATGAACACAATGAGAATAGAGATGAAAAATACATAAAAGAACCAAATGGATTTTCTAAAATTAAAAATGTAATATAGAACATGGAAAATTCACTGAATGGGCTTAATGGTAGATTAGGCAATGCACAGGGAAAGATCAGTGAATTAGAAAACATAGCAGCAGAAACTACTGAAACTGAAGAACTGGAAGAAAAATAAACAGAGCTTCAGTGAGCTATGGGAAAATATTAGGCAGTATAAAGCACATCTGGCTAAAAGTCCAAAGGAGTAAAAGGGGGGAAGAGGGAGATATTTGAAAAAGCAATGAAAATTTTTTTAAAATTTGATAAAAACTATAAGCCAATGGATCCAAGAAGCTTAATGAATCTTAGGCAAAATAAAAGCAAAGAAAATCACACCAAAACTCATTATAATCAAACTCATGAAAAACCATGATAATGAGAAAATCTTAATAGCAACCAGGAAAAAAACAAAAAACAAAAAACAGACACATTACTTACAGGGGAACAAAGATAAGAATGATCGCTGATTTCTTGTCAGAAACAATGCAACCCAGAAGACAATGGAACGACATCTTTATTAGGCTGAAAGAAAAAAACTGTCAACCTAGAATTCTATAGCCAATGAAAATATCCTTCAAAACTCAAATAAAATAAAGACTAATTGAAGACAAACACAAGATAAGAGAATTCATTGCCAGCTGAGCTCCACAACAAGAAATATTAAAGAAAGCCTAAAGAAAAATGATACCAGATGGAAGCTAGGACCTACACTAGACATAGTGTTCTGCACATGGCAAATATGGTGAACAAAGGACTTTCTACCTATATTTGTGTAATGTTAAAAAATGATTTACTGTTTAAAACAATAACAGCCATGTATTATGAAACTAAAAATATATATGGAAGTAAATATTTGATAACAAGAACAAAAATGATGGGAGGGAGGAAATGAAAGTGCCCAGGGTTCTTATATTACATGTAAACTAGTATGATATTATTTGAAGGTAGACTGTGAAGTTAAAAGTACATATTGTAAACCCTAGAGCAATTCTTCTTAAAAATGGTATAGCTGATAATTCAATGCAGAGATAAAATGAAATACTAAAAACAATTAACCAAAAAGAAGACAAGATATTTTTTTAAAAAGGGAGCAAAGAATAGATGGGACAAATAGAAAACAAGTGTAAGATGACAGACTTCAGCCCAACCATATGTAATTACATTAAATGTAAATGACTTAAACAATAATTACATGGCATTTAAATGATAAAAGGCAGAGATTGTCAAAAAGGATTTAATTTTTTCAAAAAAAATTACCCAAATATATTCTGCCTGTGAGAAACACACTTGGAAATATAAAGATAGATAAGTTAAAAGTGAACAGAGGTGGACCTGGCTGACTCAGTCAGAAGGGCATGCAACTCTTGGTTTCAGGATTGGGAACTTGAGCTCCACATTGGGTGTAGAGATTACTCAAATAAATAAATATTTTTAAAAGAGTAAACAGGAAAAAAAATACACCACACTTATATAATGCTACTTACAAGAAAGCTGGAGTGTCTATATAAATATGAGAGAAGTAGACTCTAGCACAAATAATATTACTAGTAATAAGAATATTTCATGATG